ACTGCGTTTCTTTTCTTAACTGATTTGTTCATAGCGTTCACGTATTTACGTTATAATTTTTTTTATTTGATGGGACGGCAAACGAGCTCGTGGATTACCTGATGGTAAGCAAAGCAGGAGATTTACGGATTAAGGAGGGATTGGGGAAAGAGACCACCATATTACCAAATAAAAAAAAATAGGAGATGTGGAATTTATTGTTATAACTTTGGAGGTGTGTTTTGTCTGAAGGCGTAAGCAGGACCGAATGAGATGTCAACATCTCAGTGAGGGTTGGCTGACCACTTAAGGCACTTATGTAAATATAATAGTGGCGTGAGAAACATAAGTAGATTGATTTTTGTTATTCCAACAGTTACCTCACTGATCGACACACAATAACTGTTGTTTCATACCTAGTCTCAACTACAAAGAAAACCTTTTTAACATGAAACCTCATAAATAATGGATAACGTCCGACATCGAATCTCAAAACAATTTTTTTAAGTTTAACTACAACATAGTTGAACAAAAGAGTGTATTGTGTTTATAAATAAATGTCTTATTTTTAATAGACAATTCATTTATCTTTTTTATTTTCATTTAGTTCTTCAAACTACTTTAATCCTGAAGGTCAATGAAATAGAATCCATTCTTCATTGTTTAATATTGCTGCGCGAACAAAATCAGTTTGGTCAGAATATTTGATTTATGATATTTAAATAAGTCAGATTGTTACTCTTTGGAAAGTTTATTACTATGTAATTACCTTCCAGTGTTAGTGTACGAAACACAAACACCTCTTTTTTAAGTAGGTAAATATTAATAATAGGCGTATCGACCCCGTTGTATGAAAGAAGACGGGGCAGCTGAAAGAAACTAAATTTGTAGGTGATTTGTGTGTCAATGTGACCCCAATAAGAGCTAATTGGTGATCGACCGAATCGAATCGAAGTTGTCGACCTAAACAATAAAATGATCGAGGGCACGATTAACGCAGAAGCTAGCTAAATGGGTGCCGTGCAATGTGCAAAGTGACGGTGATTTGACTCCCGTACAGAACAACTCTTTGTGTAATCCACAAATTGTTGGCCCGGGTCTGGGTGTAATGTGCTTATGATTTTCTATGTATGTAAAGGTAGAAGACAACATACAAGCAAACAAAACAAACAAACAACATAGAAGAAATTGTTAGTGTGGAGCCAGCTTTACAAAAAGAAAATGGAATTAACTCTAAAGTACCTAATTACTTATCTTTGTTTTATGGTGTCTAAAGTAGAACTCTTTAAAATCAAATTTGGCCATCGTCTGGACTGGATGTACTTGGAGTCACCACAAAAAGTCTTATTTTGCCTATTCTACCTCCCTCTACTTAATATAGTAACTAACCCTGTCGAAACCTTCTTTCTGTGCCATTTCATTCTTCTCGCAATCTATAAATTTTTTGTTTAGTGTGGAAATTACTTATAATACTTTTGTATCCTCGGACGACGGACGCACAAGACGGAACCGTTGCGGTTTTTCACCGTATCTATAATATTTCAGTACCTACATCAAAAATCTCTCAGGAAAATATCCAAATGAAACCGAGTCAATGTGGTTCCTTGCATTATAAAATTACGCGGTTAAAAACCGTCGCACCCGGGACCTTTGCCATAATATTTATTTTAAATACTATACCGATCACAAATTCATTCCAAGCAAGGACCAAAGTCTATCAGCAAGTTTAAATAGCTCGATTTTTATATGTTTTTCAGGTGATATCATTAAACGACTTCTTGGCCTGGGTGGAGCGAGAATGATTATCAGACTCTTACTGACTAAACACAGTCCTGTTCCTTCTCCTGCTCCGGGCAGGGGCCACGGCATACTATTGCACTTGCATCCACAACCTTGACAGTAAGTACTGAAGCACATACGACAAAATAAATAAAATAGAAATTGTATCTAACATATGCAGTTAAAACGATCATTTAGCCACGTAGACGTATTAAGAAACAGTTGTAGCTATTGCTAATTTAAATAAATTACAAACACGTGCTGTCTTTTATGTTAGCACGAACCTCCATCCTATATCAAAGCTCAAATCTATATCACGTTTTGCTTAACGTGAAATGCCCGAGATTAGGTAATAAGTTTTTTGAAACGCAATTTTTCGACAACTGCTTGAGGCCAATGACTGGATATTTGATTTACAAATGACATACGAAGTATTCTTCATCCATCTTTATAGATACTTATATTATAAAGAGTAAAACACTAGTTTGTTAGTTCGTTTGTATGTGTTGAGTGAGCTCCGAAATTCCTGGACCTTCCCTAAGAGATTTTTTGTTGATTAAAAAGTAACTTTTCAAGGAGTATCATAAGTAGAATAGATACTTTCTAAATTATTTAGGGATATTGTGGGATCGTAATATATTCGAGATAATATATATAGATTTCACATAGGCGAAGTCGTATGCAAAAAGCTAGTAAGAAATGGTTATTGGAAAGAATGTAGTTTAGGTAATATATACAATGGCTTTCATATATTCCGTTTGTTTAACCTTTTATGTTTGTATAACCGTTGTGCGGAGCTAGACGAGAAGAATTTTTGAATACAATAGGTTGACTAGATTTGAGAAATCCATTAGAAAACTAATCTGTTAGGTATTGCAACGGAAAATGTAAATAACAAAGAAATTAACGTAACTAATGTAGATATGTAGATACCTATTTAATTAAATTAGACCCGGTTTGAGAATGCAGTAGAGAAACGAGCGTATTCCTTCTTAAAAGGCCGGCAACGCACCTGTGACTCCTCTGGTGTCGCTGATGTCTATGGGTGGCGTCGATCGCTTACCATCAGGTGATCCGTCGGCTCGTAGGACCGTTATTCCATAAAAAAAAATGCAGTTGCCAGTTTTACATTTGCATTTTATTCTGCTATGGGATATGTATTTTTTACTAGTGTTGGTAGAAAGAAAGATTAAGAACTCCTGACGGTAAGCAGTCGCCTGAGGCTGTAACAAAAAAGGTAGGCATCACAGATGCTTAGCAGAACATGCAGGAAATAAAGAAACTGTACAATTATGCCATAGCAGCCGAAGAGAAGACATCCAATCGAGGCTCGAGAATTAGGTACTCATTTTATGATTTTATCGACCAAACAAATACACATAGCGACATCTATCGTTAATTTATAAAATTACAATGTAGTGTATCAAAAAATATTTCGAATTTATTGATTTGAGCACCTGTCTAGCAATGCCATCTACTTTTACAACTACGTACTAACTTAAGTCTAGTTTTATATCAGCGGGCAGTCTGTAGAGATAAAGAGTAGTGATAAATTGTATACCTTATAGTGTAAGAATGTGCTTCATAGAGGGCACTACTGTTCGAAAAAGGAATAAAAAAATCTGCGTTTCTGCAATTTACCTCCTATTTTCATTTTGTAATTTTTTTAGTCAGTCGAGAGCATAAAGCGCACCTATTGGTCTTCCTCTCATTATCATGCTGTTTTATCATGAGGAAAACTGTGTTTCAGTAACAATCGGCTCGATTGGTCCATGACCTAACAGTAACCAGCATAAAACCACAGTTGCTTTGTATTTACCCAGATGCGGACTAAGCCTGGTAAGCGTCGTGGGCTAGCATCTTATTGACACCTGATTTTTTGTATGAGATTCGCTTCCAGATATTTCGCCCCTCTCCGCAAGCTGGGTTCCGAGCCGAAGCACTTGCTTAGTTTGCATTAGGTATAGACCGATTCTGTTTTTACCCTATCTAGACTAGGTAATACTTATTCTAAATTTCACAAAAAAAACGCGTACCTATGCTTAAATAACAAACAAGTGAAAGATATTTATGAGAAGTGGTGTTATGCAACTGAAGTCGATATTTTGTTCTTCATTATCAAATGTCTCCTCCTGACCTAAGTAGGGCGGGATGGCGTGTCAGACTCTTACTGACTAAAAAGTGAACCATGATACATCATTGTGCTTGTACACGCAACCCTGCCTAAATATCGGGCTTTGTGGGCCCCGGTTGAACATCGACCCTAGAGGGCAGGCCTCCGCTGAACATCGGCCTTGGTGACCTCTGGTTGAACATCAGCCTTAGTGGGCCATCTATGGTGATTGGGCCGTGAGGTGAATTGTCCCCAACATACTCCGCCTAATTTGCGAATATGACTGTATCAGAGAAAGAGGTAATGGCCAGTTCCTCCCAGTTTGTACCTTTTATGCTTAACCTGAACAAAACAAAGCAGTTTGTAGGCATGTATGCTGATTGTCCAATAAAACTTCAAAATTTGAGAAAATATATTTATCTGAATATCACTAAATATATCAATAGTCACATGATACATTTCCGTATCAATGAGATAACATTAAAATGATTTATTTTCACAAAATATCAAACTTAATACTGTATTCTATGTAAATTTTAATTATTTCTTTGCTATCGTTGAATTTGATGACTCAAACCATTATGATAATGATATAATCCATTAATAAAAATTGTAGATATAATTAAAACACATTTTCTTAAAATTAGAACTAGAATAAATTATCAACTAAGTTAATTGAAAATGCAGTGCTGATATTCGCACTATAATTACAAAGGTACATTGAACTTTAAAATAAACGTAGTCCATTTGTTTAACAGTGATATCACAATAAAAAAATAATAACTAGTAATTTACTAGCCGCTAAAACATGTCAAATGTTTTAGCTGTACATCTTTAAAGGCGTTTTCAAACTTCATTGTTTTGTAAGTAAATATTCTATTTGTGACAGTCTCTGGTCAGCGACATCTCTGGTAAGTTACGGTAACTATTTTCCATTGGCTTGATCGCCATGATACGCGTGTGTGTCACTTCAGTGATACAAAAGGACTTGCATATTCTAAAACTATTATCACCATAACCCTATATTTTAATACCTACTCCTTGGCCATAAAATGTGACGTCAGATTTCCATTATTTTTGGAAATGTTAAGGTTCAAAATCCATTACAAAATTAATAAGAAAATTTTTATTTTTTGCCATTACGACATGAACCAAATTGTCGTTGATTGAAAACGCTTTAAAAGATTTTCACTAATGAACCCTGTGGAATTAGCTAGCAAGACAGGCCACCACCTTCGTTGCGCTCCAGTTCTCGCCTTACGTATGCGGCCTGCTCTTCAGTCAGGCCTAGACTTTGGACTTCCTTCTCAAACTGGGCCTTGCCCCCCATCCCCACTAGGTAGCCGTTCAGTCTGGCCGCTACATGTGATGTCTGCAACTTTTCCGAGTCCAGACCCAGACTTTTGCATAGATCCTTATGACCTTGCAATCTATATTTCTGGTGGTAGCTGGAAATAAAAAATAAGAGGTTAGACATATTGACAGCTATCTCCTCATTAACCGACTGGATTAAAGAGTGGGTTCGCCATAATCTCCTGGTTTAGCAAATAGGTTGCACATTACAGTTTGAAAGGGTAAAAAGCTGAACAGTTTTGATAATATTAGTTTTTAGTTGTTAGGAATCAATGAAATAACAATATATTCCATTAAACACGAGTTAATTAAATAAATAATAATTATGGCGCTAACATTTCTCACTTGTTATCTGAGAAGACGAAATGCGTACGACCAAAATTATAATCTGTGCATTACAATAATTTATCAATAGTAAACAATAAATTTATAATTAGTACGTATGTATATAAATAGCTTGATAGTATAAAATCACGTGTAGAGCATTCAATTGCGTTTCAAGAAAACCAATTGTGGTGATTTGACCAGCGCAACGAACTTGTCGATTGCTGGTGATTGATATGATCTTAGGTTCAAATTCTAAATCTTCTCAATTGTCTATGCTAGTGTTGATGTTAAAGGTCCTAATAAACAGACATCAATCGATATGGAGAAATAATGTTAATTTAGGATAGGTATTTAAAAAAAAGAAACTGTAAGCTGGTTGCGGGCAAAGAGGATATAGTGGTTATAGTGTCATTAGTTGCGGGTCAAGTGCAATGATGTTTCGCGGCCTCTAGGCCTGGAGCTGGAGAAAGAACCGGCTGGTTTTTAGTCAGTAATAGTCAGATACTCTTTTTCCTGGTTATCCACCACAAAAAATGCTAATACTAAGATAGTCTAGGATCTCATTAGGGCACTCTTTCTATTTATTTATTGATTATTCAATATACACAAAATGATAAATGAAAGTACATTAGACGGGTCATGATGACTTATGGAAGTTTGGTGCCTTAAGTGCGCCGGACATTTAGACGGTTCAGGCAAATTTTGGACCCATTTTAGGAAAAATAAATGACTAAGCCTGTAGTCGTATTATTTTATTTGTAACCTGCGCTAACGTTAACAACACGGTCCAACTCATTCTTTAAACCGTAATAAATCGATGTGCAGAATTGAAACTGCCACCCATTTACATATGGTGCCCGGACGTTAAATGAAACATAGACCCTGGCCTAATTGTTGCCATAATCGACAGTTATTTATGTATGCTATGCGTTAAATATTCGAAGGTTGTTGCTAGACGCCTAACCAAGGTGAATTTTTATAGTAATGTTGCCTACTTATCTAACGCGATGTCATGTCGTGATTCCCATTTAATTTTATTAATGGCAACATTGTAGTATAAGTGCTCATTCAATGTTTTAAGGTTAATATTTATAAGCAAAAGTTACTTAATACATATTACGTGTTTAGAAACAATACATTACGTAGGTACATAGTAAGAATTGATGATTTACATGCAATGGGAAGATCGTCACATTAGAAAAGACACGTGTAAAATATTATGTGACTCACGGTTTACCCGATTTTGTGATTTATTTTACTTTCCACGTAATAATTGATTCTTAATTACACATTACATAATACTTTAGTAAGCATAAATATATAATAGTATACTGTCATTTATGTTAGCACGGTCTGTTCTTTGTGGTTTTTTGAGGTGAAAAAATCGTCTTTTGTTTATTTCCATCCCGATACATTACTGCTCAATAGCCCACAACCCCAGAAGACAGTTCTTATGAAAAATGGTTTGACACTGAGTAAATATTCAAGGTTCCAAAATTAAAAATGTACCCAATTCCAAAGTTGCTGCACATGTGTATTTAGTTCAGGCAAGCGAAAAACATATTTTTTACCATATCTATGTTAGGTTAATGCACAATTAGGTATAAATACGGACCCGTATACTTCCTAAAAATGCAAACAGCTAATGAGGGACAGGTCCAAGAGGGACGGACATTCAAACTGCCTACCAAGCGATCTTCTGTGTCAAAAACATATTAAAAAGGTACTACAGTTATAATGATAAGGTATTGATTGATAAATGGGTATGTAAGGACTGCACTTACTCCTCAGCAGGGTAGAAGGTGCCCGCTGGTGCGATCTCAGTGCGCAGTGGTTCGTTAACGCGCTCCTGTGTCTTTTTGTACGAAGACTCGGCCGCCAAGCGCTGCTCCTCATCATGATACAGGATCATTGATTGGTACTGAAATGTACATGAAAGAAAAATAATCAATAGGTTTGAACAATGTGTATAAAAATTTTGTTAGGATGCGTATCTAAGCTATTATGAAGACTGTATTTTACGAAGACTAATGAAGATTGGGTTTTTTCATGAAGATCTCTAATAATATTGTAAGACTAATTAAGCACCTATTGTATTAATCTTCGGGTAAAAGTAAATAAGCAATACGTCCTATGCCTACCTATGTATGTTTTGGAAAAAGATATGTTTAGTTTTGCACGTGTGTGTAACTATTTGGTCTACCTACAATATTGGCACGACTGACTGACACTTTCATAAAAACGACTTATAACTATACGGCAAATATTTTTCTTTTTATTATTGAAAATGAATTTGTTCACTTGCAAAATATTTATTAGGTAGCGATGGAGCTTTCTCTTGTTGAGGGCTTTAACTTTAAGGCCAGCGAAGGGATAAGGCCGGTTTATCAGAGGCTACGGCCTGGACTGCGACAAATGTAGGAATTATATTCGGCTGCCACTACAAAGCACAACGACGCAGTTACAGTAGTATGCAGATCCTGATTGTAAGCTATCGGCGCTGTTCATTGACAAAATAAATCCGTCCCTAAGGCTTCCTCCCGACCAAGCCGAGAAAACTGGTGTGAAGCGACATTGTGTTTCGCCGTGTGAGTGTGGTAACCGGACGCCCAATTCTTCCCCTTCTTTTTCCATCTCGTCACTCCTCCATTGCAGTGGATGTTTATGGGCGGCGCTTATTGCTTACCATCAGATAATTAGAGGGTAACGTAACAAGTATTAGTGGATTTGGGAATTAGGTAATGGAGGGTGTTGCCGATTAAATATGATGTTCAACATCAAGAAGGCGTGAAGCTTTAATTTGTCAATTAGTACCTGTCTTTTTAGCTTGGTGGTGAGTCCATACTCGTGATTGGCCCAGAACATTTCCAGGAGATGATCGTAGGTTACTGTCTTGGGGTCATAGTCCAACTCGATCACTTCCGTATGATCGCCACTGGAAATGAAATAGTAGATTTTTATAATTAAATAATAAACTCATTAAAACCTGGAACATTTTATTTAACGCAATGATACCGTTTTTATTGCCCTAATTTCAAAGTTATTTAGCTTCGGGAGTCTGAGAAGGGTGAACTAGGGTAGCTCGCGGTCCGATCACAATCAAGCCTGAGTGTACGACACCTCACGTTCCTCAAAAAGGCATCAGTCCAGTACATGATGGATGGCATCTACCAGGGTCAATGTCAGGCCACTGATGCGGGCAAAAGACAATGACGCTCTGCAGCCTAGTTCGAACCAGGAGATGGAAAGGGTTGCTTTGAGTCACTAAGAGGCTGGCATTCCTTGATATCATGTACCTAATTTAATAGACAAATTATTTTAAAGGTATGTAACTAGATAATATAGATGATACTAAATAAGGTATGCAGACAAAGCCAAATTGTTGAACTGATTACAAAAAGTGCGCATGTAAAATAGTAAAATTGTTTTGTTTCAAATTCGTCACAATTACCAAAAACTTCATGCACGTGTACGTTATATTTTTAAACCGTCTCAATAGCATAGAGAGGAGCGTAACGTAAATAAAAACTAGTTTGGTGCGTGGACGCACGCGACGTCTCGACGCCTTGGCCTTGCGCACGCGCAGGGGCCGCCAACCTTGACGCGTTATCATCAAATTAGGCACAACTATTACCGGACATAGATTTTGAAATGTAGTTTCTTGTTCATATCAATTACATAAACGTTTTTTGACATTTTATTTTAATAGCATTTGTTGTGATTAACTTTATTATACACAGTTATCTATAGGTAACGGTTTGCTTGTTGTAGATAATTTTTGTATTACCTGATAATAGTTTTTACAAACTCATTACTCGGTAACGAACGTTCAGTTATATATTTTGGTCATTAAGATGGAATTCTGAATAAATTAACAAATTGTGTAGACGTATTAGGTAATTATTATAGGATATTAAATTATGTGGTTTTAATAGTAATAAATAAGTTAAGTGATTTCTTGAGGTTTGTTGTTGTTGACAAAGATTTAATTTAACAAGTTGGACAAATAAAAAGTTTATTTCAAGTACTTTTAAAAAAAATTGTTAAGTCATATTAGTCTAAGTAACACTTAAACTTATTTTAAATATAATCAATATCTTTGGAATTTTTTTTATTAGGTATTTCCATTTAGTAATTTCTCTTACTAACTTTTCCTAACACAGTGACTATGTCCCAGTCACATACCTGATATTTATTTATATGCAAGTAAACACTATTTTTCCTCAAAACGTTTAAGTAAAGTTTTATTGCACAATATTTCCTCAGCCGGGAAAATAAAATGACTTGCCAAGCCACCTGATTCTTCGCTTGTAGGTATGCTAGTCATTATAAATAAATACTCTTTTGTTAATATACCTACCTATCTTTTTGTTACTTATCTACTAATATTACGGCAGTCAAGGACAGCACAAAATTCGCAAATCATTCGTGTATTGATAAACAGATTATGTTTCTTCTCTATCTATTCTTACGTCATATAGTCATAAAAATAGTAGATAAGTATACTTATATAGGTACAGTATATAATTTCACTTTGTCGTAATACAATTGTTTTATTAAGGGCACTTTACCAAACAGTGAAAATTGGTATACCTATCTATCTATTCAACAATGTTTACTACATTTTTGGATCACTAATCGTATACACATGTGAAGCATTAGCTACAATATACATTTTTTTTTTGACTTTCAATAATTCTCATTAGGTCAAAACACAATCTAAAAAAATCAAAGATCAAGTCAAACTCTATGACTTTGAAAACACAATGCGAATTCCAAAAGTCAAAATCTCATATCTTTGACATTTGAAATTGTAAAACTTAGTAAGTAGGTGTATGTATTACATATGTTCATTATATACTATATATACTAGGTGTTTAGTCCAAGAAACAACGAGCTTCCCTCAAGTGTACAAAACATTAATTCGACCTTGTCCAATAAAAGTATTGATCGCGTGCGTCCTTGAGACGGAAGGTCAGACAAGACGTTAGATACTATTTGTAGACATCGAGCCTAGTCTTAGCTATTACCGACAATTTCCAGGGTTCAGGTATAAGAATATTAGTATTTATTTATTTCTTTGTTTATTCCTCAACATTGCCCTCATCTAAGCCTTAAAAAGAACGACCGGCCACGGTGTTTTAACGAGTGTACCTACTTCCATCAAACCGCGAACTAACTCCGTTCTCCAAATGTTTAGCCAAAGATAATTAGAGAATTAGAAAAAGAACGACCGGCCACGGTGTTTTAACGAGTGTACCTACTTCCATCAAACCGCGAACTAACTCCGTTCTCCAAATGTTTAGCCAAAGATAATTAGAGAATTAGAAAAAGAACGACCGGCCACGGTGTTTTAACGAGTGTACCTACTTCCATCAAACCGCGAACTAACTCCGTTCTCCAAATGTTTAGCCAAAGATAATTAGAGAATTAGAAAAAGAACGACCGGCCACGGTGTTTTAACGAGTGTACCTACTTCCATCAAACCGCGAACTAACTCCGTTCTCCAAATGTTTAGCCAAAGATAATTAGAGAATTAGAAAAAGAACGACCGGCCACGGTGTTTTAACGAGTGTACCTACTTCCATCAAACCGCGAACTAACTCCGTTCTCCAAATGTTTAGCCAAAGATAATTAGAGAATTAGAAAAAGAACGACCGGCCACGGTGTTTTAACGAGTGTACCTACTTCCATCAAACCGCGAACTAACTCCGTTCTCCAAATGTTTAGCCAAAGATAATTAGAGAATTAGAAAAAGAACGACCGGCCACGGTGTTTTAACGAGTGTACCTACTTCCATCAAACCGCGAACTAACTCCGTTCTCCAAATGTTTAGCCAAAGATAATTAGAGAATTAGAAAAAGAACGACCGGCCACGGTGTTTTAACGAGTGTACCTACTTCCATCAAACCGCGAACTAACTCCGTTCTCCAAATGTTTAGCCAAAGATAATTAGAGAATTAGAAAAAGAACGACCGGCCACGGTGTTTTAACGAGTGTACCTACTTCCATCAAACCGCGAACTAACTCCGTTCTCCAAATGTTTAGCCAAAGATAATTAGAGAATTAGAAAAAGAACGACCGGCCACGGTGTTTTAACGAGTGTACCTACTTCCATCAAACCGCGAACTAACTCCGTTCTCCAAATGTTTAGCCAAAGATAATTAGAGAATTAGAAAAAGAACGACCGGCCACGGTGTTTTAACGAGTGTACCTACTTCCATCAAACCGCGAACTAACTCCGTTCTCCAAATGTTTAGCCAAAGATAATTAGAGAATTAGAAAAAGAACGACCGGCCACGGTGTTTTAACGAGTGTACCTACTTCCATCAAACCGCGAACTAACTCCGTTCTCCAAATGTTTAGCCAAAGATAATTAGAGAATTAGAAAAAGAACGACCGGCCACGGTGTTTTAACGAGTGTACCTACTTCCATCAAACCGCGAACTAACTCCGTTCTCCAAATGTTTAGCCAAAGATAATTAGAGAATTAGAAAAAGAACGACCGGCCACGGTGTTTTAACGAGTGTACCTACTTCCATCAAACCGCGAACTAACTCCGTTCTCCAAATGTTTAGCCAAAGATAATTAGAGAATTAGAAAAAGAACGACCGGCCACGGTGTTTTAACGAGTGTACCTACTTCCATCAAACCGCGAACTAACTCCGTTCTCCAAATGTTTAGCCAAAGATAATTAGAGAATTAGAAAAAGAACGACCGGCCACGGTGTTTTAACGAGTGTACCTACTTCCATCAAACCGCGAACTAACTCCGTTCTCCAAATGTTTAGCCAAAGATAATTAGAGAATTAGAAAGAAATAAAGAAGAAACAAAGATATACATATTATCTGAAACTTTAAATCCAATCGTCTTACGCCCGGTTCCTATAATTGAGAAACGATCCGTTTTAATTACGAATAGTAGTTTTATATACGACTCGTAAGCTAAAACCGTTCCTATAATAAACGTCTCGTCGTGCAACTTACTGACGTTTTGCAACTAACGGATATCGGTAAGCGAATTGTATGGAGATCTATGGTGCCTGTGGTTTTCCTATAAAATATTAACCGTCAGTAGACGGTCAAGATAACTATTCGTACTGTCATTTGATCGTAATGCGTATACAACGACGATTCGTTAAATATAGGAACCGGGCATTAACATATCATGATGACACGTAATACACAGAACAGCTTTTTTATCTGTTCTGTGACGTAATTCACTGAACAATGAACTAGGTACATTAATAGCTACGTAATTGTGCTAAACTATAATTACAGACACATTTACCAAGATAATAGTGAAACTATCACACACGTGTCTAGATAACGCACTTATTTTAATCCTACTACGACGTTTAATCTCAAGTGAGAGTAAATTCCGTATAATTGAATAGTGTATTTCCTCTGTGTCAAGGTACAATATAATGCTATTAATATGGGACTGGTATTTTTTATGGCCTTAGTGCCATCCCCTAGGCATTTGCTAACATTATTACGTGACCAGCGTTTATGAACTATCCCAGCTGGGCAGGGGTTGTCGATGCAAGCGCTATAAACTGGTTCCGGCTCGGAGTAGCAAAAGGAACGCGGAGGTTTTTAGTCAGTAAGAGTCAGACACTCCATCTCGCCCCACTTAGAGCGGGAGAAGTCATATGATGATTTCTTCCTCTAAAAAACTTAACACTATCCCATTGCTAAAAAATACCTCTACACACAGAAGAACCATCATTTATAAACGCGTTGATTTTGTGGTGATAATAAAAAACAGCAAAAGATAAATTCAGCAAGGAATCTTCAATTATTAAGAGGTTTTTGTTATACCTAAAGCTAATTTTATCATTAGGTCACCTCTTTCTCTTTTTAAATTTAGTGGAATTGCCGACCTCGACCTTGAGTTTTTGATAAATACTGGCGATGAAAAAAGTAGGTGATTTTGCCAAGCAATATTATTACCACACTTCCGTAGCTATATCTTAAAATAAAACAAAAGCTTTAGGATTAATTAAATAATAATAAGACGCTGACAAATTAGTTATGTTTTGTTAAAAAAACACAAGGTTTAACACTATTAAAATAATAATAATGACAGTTGAATAGGTTATGTTTTGTTTTTGTTTTTTTTTTTCAGCAGCGGGCTAAGACCGTCTGGCCCGCGGCTTGGCAAAGGCATATTATTATGGGATCCCTCTTATAAAAGTAGTGTAAGCAGAGACTGATAAAAAGCATAAATTGAATTGAGAAACTTGCTCCTTTTGATAGTACGCGGTTTAAAGAGTTTAGAAAATATAGATCGACAGCCATTGCTAGTTTAAAACATGGCAATTACCGACGTGGCTTTGTCCAAATTACTTGTAGTTCCATAGCTTTTAAGATATCACTTCGAAAAGGTAACGGAAAGCATCGTAAGGAAACCCGGATTTCATAATTTCTAATTATATAATTATATGAGTTTGCGTGAGAAAAAGCCTTTGCTCAACAATAAACACATGTAGGCTTATGATGTAGTTAATTTTCGTCATCTTCGGCTTTAGGTATACTAAAAACCGTTTCCATAATAAATACTTGAGACAAGTCTTCCTGACTTTCTTTCGTAATCCTATTGACACTTCAAAGATTAAAATACTCCATTCTAAGTATTTCAATGGCTCTATAACTTCGTAATCCTGTAATTCCTTTCGCCATAAAATCAATTGCGTTACAATGCATTTACATTTACTAACGAAAGGTACTTAACAATAGTTAATCCACTAACTTACATGCAGGTACTTAATAGCTATCGTTAAATGACTAGAAATACTAGAATTCTGATAAAGAAAGCATTAGAGAGTTGAGAAAGATGCCTTATGATGATTTAAGTGCGCAGTTACGCTGAGTTTGTTTCGGCATTTCCGGCTTCATCTAGGTTTTAGGTACATATAATTTTGACGTGTAAAAGTGCTGTTTTATAGCCTATTTACAAACTTATATTATTATAATAGAAAAGACAATATTGCCTAAAGCTTAACCCGAGCATACGACGCGTAGCGTTCCGCGCGCGCCTCAAAGATCCAATAGACCACCACAGACGGGGCCCTATGGGGCTGATGTTTAGCCGGGGTTGCGGTGCAAGCGTAATGAGCGGAACGGAGGGGGTTTCTAGTCAGTAAGAGTCTGACACTTCCTCCGCCTCACCACTCACTACCTCACCTGATATTCCATTGACAAAAAAACTGACTAAAATGCCGTGGTAGCAAGAAACCTATTCGCAATAAATTACCGCTTCGGCTTCGAGCAGGAGAAGGAACGGGGTTGTTTAAAGTCAGTAAAAGAGAGATAAAAGTCAGAGAGATATACGAATACGACAACAAAAAAAATAACAAAAGGAACCCCAAAGGATGGGACTTACACACCGAAACACAACGCTGAATTTCGGATATGCAGGAAACTTGAGCATTACACAGATCAACTGATCTCTACAGGTTCTAAATTTATTGATTCTTTTTATCATCTTATCATGGTTCAGGTATCAATTGAAATATTTATATTCATACCGAGATCGATTTAGATTTTATTTGCAATGTAGGGAAGTACGAGTTACCTATCAATTAATTTGGGACAATGACCGCGAATTGAAAGTCACTTTGAAAGGACAGATTAGATATAATAATTATCTGATTCTGATGGAAAAAGGCTGATTAGTATCTTTTTATCCATATGTCAATCTATGTAGCTGAAAAATCGCAAAATGTTTTGGTAACCATATAACTCAGTTGACATCAGTTAAAATTTACCTACTATTAAAACCACAGGCGGGTCGTCAAAAGGAGCTGAGTACCTACAATCACATTATGTTTAAAAAACTTTGTAGATATACACAAGTACCTAATTTAAAGAATAAGTTTACACTTTACACGTAGCAAAAATTTCAAGATATATTAATGTTTGAACTATTTACAAGTAATTTTATTATTTTCTGGTCTGGATCTTTACTGATGCGGCGCTCCTTCAACCATGGTCTTCTAAACAACGTTCAAGACATCACATGGATTAATTAAAACAAAATAATTGAGGATCCACATTCAGATTGACATAGGGAAGTATTGTTAATGTCGCAATGCCTTTTAGGTGTACCTCACAAAGACAAAGGCCTTGAAACGTCATGGGTTCATTTTTGTCTTTGCAATGGTTTGAATCAGGAAGGTCAATGAATGGAAACAAAGCAGCCGTTACACTTAGAAAATTAGTTTCCTAAGGGCGGTTGTTGCAATGTTATCTGAGGAATAAAATTGTTGCTGTCACTGTCTTATACAAGCATTCTGACGCGAGAACATCATAATAATTCACCAGATAACTTAATGTTGTAACCATTGAAAAATCAACCCTTAATAAACATAGGAACGAAGAATATTTGTAGCAGCTAGGCTATCTACATAAATGACTTGGTGGTCCAGAGGTTAGCCCGCCTCTCATGCATGAGAGTACCTACGATTTCGAAATCTAGTACCAATGTGACTTTTGCCGAGTTACATGTCCTTTCTATGATTGTTTAGGCACCATTGACGACGAGACCACATTTAGTGAAAGAAGATCGTGAGGAGACCTTAACTTATAATTTCTAATTAGGTATAAGTTTGAAATCGCCAATTCGCATTGAGCAAGCGTGGTGATTTAATGCCGATACCTTTGCTGCTTTTGCTCAGTGGCAAGAGTGGGCACTTATAAGCTGATGATGATAAGTGTGATTAAAAAAAAACTAGTATCCCTTTAAAAAGTATTAATTAAAGAAAAACGTGGCGTTGGGGGTCCGATCCAAATTTTTTATTATCTACTTCATATCTCTATTTTGCCGGGGGTCTAATTTATTTTTTATTTTATACTTTTTATAGGTATTTTATATCATTTTTTCTCGATTAAGTCATCAACATTCCCTTCCAGTGCGCTGTCATTTAAGACCCCACTCAAGTATATTTGCAGACCTTTGGTTACCCTTCCCCACTTACCCCCCATAACTTCTAAACGGCTCAACCGATTTTCATCAAACATGTCTAAGAACACTCGCACGTAAGTCACCTTTAATACAAAAACTAAATTAAAATCGCTTCACCCGTTAGACTCCAGGATGCTACAGACAGACAGACAGACACGTCAAATTTATAACACCCCTCTTTCCGCGTCGGGGTTAAAAACAATAAATTCGACAACTACCTTAAGTACCTGTGGTTCCATCAGATAAATGTGCCTTTGTACCTTAATAATGAAAGCTTAGATAGGTACTACTGCGTTGTACTTACATGCTTCTATAAATTGGGTTCTTTGTGGTGCCGCCTGAGTAGCCGACTCGAGTCCGGATTACTCCAAGGGTGGCTCCGAATAAAGAGTCGTTGGCCCAGAAGCAACCCATACCAAAAGTGGCTTTCTTCGTTGGGATGTCCACATCGTGAAGGACAGCAGCCTGGTAATACGAGATAGAATATTAAACCAAAGAATAAAAACCTCAACTAATTTTAATAAAGTACCTATAGCGAAGATAGAAATAAATGGAGTGATGGGTAACTTGCGACCATAGAGAATATAATATCGTCATTGCTTGTGACCCAGCTACATCGGTGTCATTCATAAATGTTTTTTGAGCAATCGAAAGGGTTGCTGAATCCAGGGTTTGCCCTCTATTTTTCTAAAATTGATCTGACAATAACAAACAAAACAAAAAAGAATATGCGAAATTAGTTCAGTAGTTTTCGATATTTGTTTTTAAAGTCACAAAATAATAAACAATGTAATCTTAATAATCGTGCACAGTGGGTAAGCATGCTTTCTTCGTACACGAATGATTAGACAAATAAATATGTCATAACATTACAACTTGGAGAATTTACTCATCCTATTATCGGCACTATCTACAGTCAAAAGGTCATCATACAAGGATGACCATTCAGAAACAATAGTAACTGCGTATAATTTTGTGTTATCTGTGGTCCCCTACAAGGAACAGCGTAATTGTCTATTGATTATGCGCCGTGGGTGATGAGAACTCTAATTAATTATATATTTACTCGTATTGATATAATATAATTAGAGCACTCTTTAGTTGAATGGAGATTTTATCATCTACGTTTTGTTGTGCAGAAGAGAAACTTGCAGAACTTTTTCTTTGTTTTATAAATATTGTTATACGTTAAACCTCCGTCAAATCTCCTAAGCTCCTAATGCTCAGCGCTAGGCACTTATAGGCTGATCGTGAGGCTGATGATGATTTTCATACGTCAAGATTTGTCAACGTCATTTATACGATAAAATAAAGCGACGGGTCCCAGCGGACTCCAGGAGCGCTGTACACAGATCCGCACTTTTTGACAGAGGACTCCTGGAGTCCGTTCCACAGCTGAGAGGAGGATGAATAACTGACACCACATAATTGAATTAAAACTGGAAGACGTGTACGTTGTAGCAGGACTTCTGTCAGCCTTGTTTTTATATTTTGATAAAATGCTTATTTACTTTTAGTACAAAATGTATAAGTATTATTCTTATAGAGAGAAATGAATGTCAAGCCCCATTTTCGTGTGACGCGTCTGATGACCTAGACCTATATGTACAATAGACCCTCTCAAATAAGGCCTATCATCTATTTTTGTCTCGGAAAATTGTCCACATCCTTATTAGATTTAAAATAGGGTCTACAGTAAAATGGTGTGTCAGTTTGTCAGAACGTAATAAAGGATAAATTCAGAGGTCAAGTTCATGCAATAACCAAAAAACTTAAGCAGGAGAGTAATAAAAATATTCAGAACAAACGCATGCAAAAGACTGATTAGATTTGTTTTAGGATATGACACTATCTGTTGATTAAACGATGAAAGTGATTCGATGTACCTATCGAAGATTTTTATGAATAAGTTTATCGTAGATTTTTATTTTTATCATCAAAATACTGTTGGCTGTTGAAGGTTGCTGATTCTTATTGGAGACCTCGTTTGTCTTCCCTCTTTGAAAACTTCATTATTTTGTAGGCAGTTTGAAATTTCTGCAATCCTCAAGTACTATGTTACACTCCAGAGCTTAGCTTCATGAAAGCTGAAGAAATAAAGTAGATGGGTACTAAAAAACTATTCCGAATTTGCTTCCATTTCCACACGTCATTATAATAATATCCATCAATGTTAATTCCATATGGGACCATGACCTCTCCACTTTTTACGTCCATGTTTTAAAATAAAACAAGTAACAATTCCTGAGTTGATCGTACCGTTATAATTTGCAGACAAGTTATCATCAACGTGTAATTGTCCGGTAATTTGCCCTTATGGTAAGCCATGGGCCCAGGTTGTAAAAAAGAAGATATATTTATCTTCGTCAATGTTTCTTGAGTTTGTAATATTAATCATCACAAATCCAGGAAATGGAAAGCAGCAGTAAAGTATATTATTTCAAAACAATTCCATTGATGTTATGAAAAAGTTATGTCAACGATAGGATCACCTATACCATGATAACTACAAAAACATTAATAGCAGAAACGAGCAACGTTTTATTTAAAAGATTAGGTAACACTAATGCAAAATCATGATAACATCTTAGGTGTGTCTACGAATTTCGCGTCACCCCAAATATGCAAACAATGACTAAGTAATAATAAAAAAAAAATTAAAATAAGTAATAAGTACTCACGTTAACTGGTGGCTTCATGGCGAAGAAACTTCTAATATATCTCAACATGCACGAAGAGAGGTACCCAGTGGGTCAGATGTGCAATTTGTTTAAAATTGTATATGCGTAATAATTATTATTTGAGGATAATTTTAGTTCGTATTAGATTTCCGCGTGATTGAGATCGTGGCGAGGTGAGGAGTGCGGCCGCGACACGTCTGCTAGCTGTGGCGGTCCGGCGAACACTGCGGTAATAAACGATGGCGCGACGGCTTTACCTTGCCGTCACAACCTGTTACACGTTTTCCAACTACACAATGCCGTGCTGTGTGCAACATTCGGCAGATAACTTTAAACCCAAACAAAGAGTTTTCCGCTTGATTGAAATGATACAGTAAATAAATAATATGTTTAATGGCACATCAAAGCTTTTCTTTGAATTTTGGTACAGGGATTCTTTTGTTGGATGGTCTGCGCTATTTTCGCGACGGACACGTTGTGTAATCTTGCTAGCGAGGCGACCGCGTGTCTGACACCAACTGCCGGATTACCCACCACGTGATGAATCAATAACACATGTTTCTTTTTTAAAGAGTTTTCTAAATTCAGTTTTTTTTAATTTCATCTGACTCCGTTTACATTGGTTGTTAGTTTGGACGTAGCGATTGGCTTCGTCTAAAGTGTAGGCCCTACTTTAGCATATTGAGGTTTTTTCAAAGCTTTCTTCTGATGGATTTTAGGAAATCGTGCGACTCGGTCTCCTGCCTCCTCAGCAAAAGAAGCATAAGGTTGTTGTTGTCGGTGAATGCTCTGATCCTGTTCTGTAAGCTTAGCTAAGCTGGTGTCCCACAAGGTTGCGTAATGTGGCCCACTCTATTCTAAGTGCTGAATTAGTGACATGCTGTAAATCAAAGACATTAATAATTATACGGATGACGACGTATAATTTCGGGTTGTTCTCATGTATCTAATGGAGAGCACCTGCATAGACACAACCTCATGGCCAGGATTATCCACCAGCAACTTGCTTTAAAATACAAACTTGTTGAATCTGAAGTGCCGTACTATAAGTATCTGCCTGACCCAGTTCTCGAGAATGGAGATGTCACACTGTATTGGGATCGAACTATCATCACTGATAGGACAATTGTAGCCAACACACCTGACATGGATGATAGATCGATCGAGCCGTCGTACAATGATAATTGATATAACAATCCCACATGACGAGAATCTTGTGTAAGCTGAAAAAGATTAAGCAAGTAAATATCTTGATTTAGCTCATAGGATTGTCGACATGTGGGATGTAGACTCAGCAATCATTGTGCCGATATGCCGTGCCGTCGTTTCTGCCAATGGTCTCATGGCTAAAAGCCTTGATAAACACCTAAGCAGGCAGTTAGGTGGTTGGGTCAAGAATCTGATGCAGAAAGCTGTACTTCTAGATACGGCGCGCATTGTCCGGAGATTCCTTTCTCTGGAGCCCTGACCACCGGTTGCTTGGAACCCTCCCGTAACCGGTGGGATACTACTTTTTATATTTTTAAGAGTTTTTCTTTTTTTTTTTTGTTTTGTGAAAATATTTAAAAATTTAAAAATCAAGATCAGAAATAAATAAAATGTTATAATAGAGACGGATGACAACACAGACTGGAATAGATTTATTACCGCGGCCCGTCTTGGAGTAGGAGAAAGAAAGAACAATAAGAATCTGACAGTCCCTCTCGAACCCAACCAGGGTGGGAGACATATAGGTACAATGATTTTCCTTGTAGAAGACAAAGGCTATGCCTAACGCTAAAAGTTTAGACTCTCAGGGAGGTAGGCAGTTAGGTATCTTAACTCGGGGTAAACTTAATTTGGTTCAATTAAACTCTTCAAAAATGTGTGTTCACTGCCAAAGTGTCATTGATCGAATGTTCTTAGTTACTAAGTTACTCCTTCACTGCCTCAGCCAGATCCAACTGTTGGAATACTTGAAGCGAAGTTCAGTTCTGCGGGCTTTCGATTTTAATTTAAATAAGTAACAATCGAAAGAGCTGCGGGTAACATTTTTATAATGTTATTATGGTATTATTCATTGTGTACCTGAATTTTTGAGTGCCACGCTCATTTGGATTGTGTATATTTTTTCTGAAAACTCACATTACTAAATTATCTAAGCAACGAACAAATAAATGAGTTTGTTTTTCTTTAGTTTAAATGTTATGGGAGAAAGCGGTTTCTTGTGTGTAAATAAAACATTCTAATTAATTTAAACAAATTCTTTATTAATTTTCCAGATAATTTAATTTACACTACTGTTTAGAGGGCATAGAATCGCATCATTCAAGAAGTAATCAGAAACATAAAGTAACAACAATATTCCTTCACACTAACATAAAATCTTGCATTATTTTTGCATATATATTTAAAATGTAAGGCGATTTAGTCCTCATCTTGAAAGTTCCATAATCATTGATTTAATACTGCAAAAACTTAGTTAATATGCAAAATATAAATATAAAATATGCAAAAAAATCTTGTAGTGACCTTGACTAAGACAAAATAATTTTAAAAACTTCTTTTTATACATTTTTAACACATGCACAATCATTAGCGGGAGAAAAACATCCAAGTTTGGACTATCACGCTTTTTTAATAGGAGAATAACATCGAACAGTAGTGTTTAAAAGTTTTATAAGAACATACATAGATGTTGAAGAGACTGTAGTGAACCATACCACATAATACCAATAGCTATCGACCTTTGTATAATAAAATTACTTTCTTTATCACGTTAAGATTGTAAAGGCAAATCACCTATAGCTCTGATTACAATTCACATTGTCTTTTAAAGTCTTATACAATGTAACAAAATTCCACATATTAAGAAGAACGACCACATAAAACACACAACATTCATAAATTTTGTAAACATGTAAGTACATAATCGAAATAATCCTATCAATTTAATAAAAATTGGGGTCTTGATATGAAACTTATTTGATAGTTTAAAAGAACTACAAATATTAGGAATTGACCAATCAGGGTTTAAATTTTGTATTTGGAATATTGAAGACCATAGAAGAATTCGAAATCTTAATAATAGAATAACTACTTTAATTTTCAGTAATTTTATAAGATTTAATTTTTAATGACGTTTTTAAGGCAAGATGGAAACGGCAAGATGACTAATTTGCTAATCTTATTAGTAAAATCCTGTATTACTTCTAGGTCATTCAAAAATAACAAATTTCTTTCGCATTTGTATTAAAATACTTAATTAAATCGTATTCAAATACCTAGGCGGAAATATTAAAATTTTGTTCTGTGAAACTTATCCATGAATTATACAAAAAAATCAACAGTGTGTAATGTGATGCTGGTTGGCTACGCTCTTAAGTAACATGAAAGTAACATTGTTGACGTAATACTTGTGACGTCACTCCTATACTATGTATAAATATTATAACAGTGACTAATTACACTAACTGGTATATACATAGGTATACGGGATCAGCTGCCACTGCGTACAAACAATTATTATACAATTTAATTCCACGACATAGAGTTCATATTTGCCTACAAGAATAATTATGTACATAGGATCACGTGACAATAACAATAATTATCAACAGAGGAGTCCGACTTGACTAAGGCAAGACACAACAGGCACTGTCCAATATTACTACTGCAAGACAATTATCACATAGAATAGTTTAAACGTAGCTTTATAGACATTTTATGTTACGACAGAATATACTGCTGTTTGAAAAATATTAAAGTCAACTGCGAATTATGTAAAAAGTGTATTTAAAAAAGATATTCTGCATCACTTCTACATGATATTAATTATATCTTTTGAATCACCATATTAAAGAAAATCGTACTATATATAGCTGCAAAACGATATTTTTTTGAAGAATAAAAATAATAAACTAATTCAATCCTTTTGGTATCCTATTCACTGTTCGCGGCAAGACGAGCTGCCATCACAACCCACACATAGGTACTTAAGAAAAATATAATCAAATACAACTAATTAAGAGCACAAATAATTTGATAAACATTATGTATATTACAAAAATAACATATCAGTATTTGTTCTGTCAAAAATTTATCAAATACTATATGGTATCACAAAATGCCGCCTGTAAAATGCTTTAAAAAATAATACTGTTACAAAAAAATAAAAATTGAAATGTATTGTGCTTACTTATAAGGCCATTTAGTATTGCTTTGTTTGTTTGTCTATTTTAATTTTTATATAGATAATATTATAATATGATTATTTGATATATTCACGACAGTTTACGCATATTACATATTAAAGTACACATATTTTATTTTAAGTACTTTTTAAGTACCGAAGATATAATCAATCTACCAAATAGCTAAACTAATGACTAAGATATGGACGAATGGATTGCTACTGGATGGGTGCTAAAGATGACGGCTACACATGATAAACACGACTCCAAAAGCTTAATATACATTGTATAAATATAATTTTTAACAAGATGATATACAACGGAATGTCAATCTACTACATTCACCTCTAACAAGTATACCACAGATAATGAACACTGGATTTTTATAGAACATAATTCCACAAAGTTTTTCTACAGATTAGTTAAAAATACGTCTAGTTCTAAAGTTTTTTTTTTCTATAAAGGGGTTACCACTTTACGTAAAGGAAGGGTTGAACTAATCAACATATACAGTGTTGCCACGAATATTTTTTTATTTATTTAAAGTTCAGGAAGATAGGGGTTACTGTGCTGAAATTCTAATTAAACTCAGTTGGGACATGAAAATTTTAAGATTTTTAAGTTCACAGTTTTCGTGGTAACACTGTGATAGAATATTCCATCTAAAAGTAACTTGTGCTTGCAATTTAAAAAATATAAAAATATTGGCACAAATTGAGTATTTAGCTCTAATAAAGAAGAAAAAGGCACTCGACTCTACATCCATAGGTTACAAGTAAAACAGTAGCTTAATTCAATACAGATTTTGCACATATTTAAAGTTTAAACTACAGGAAAAGTTTTTTTCTATTGTATTTTATATCATTAGGTAGTCTAAATAATATTATTTGTCCAAAGTCTAATTTGTTTTGTTGTAATTTAAATAATATTATTGATGCTATCAGTCACATCATTGATTAATAATCACTATGATATGATTCAACATTTTTGCCATGTGCAGTGTGAAAACACCTGTCTTTTAGGTGCAAAATTATCGGTCCACAATATCAAATGAGTTATTTGTATAGAACTTATGTATGTATAGGACTTTGGATAATTTTTCGTCTTAATTCCTTTTCATATAGACAAATATACAGATATATATCATACGCTAAATAGAAAAGAGGCTTAACTCAAAAAAAAGACTCACTGAAATCTTAAAAATTATGTTTCAGTAATAACATTCAATTTTGAAATACCCTCTTTTATGACTTAGTTCTATTTTGTATTAAACATGTGATTATGTAGGTTCGTGTTTCACTGTAACCTGTGGATGGTAAAACAAACTACCAGCACGAATGCCGTGGCCCCCTCGCTCTGTCAACATACAGCTGTATTTTGAATTTAAACCAAACTTCGGCATGCATACTCCACTACACGATTATTACATTTATAAACATATATCAAGTATATGTTGAAAGTCAGTATAAATTGCATTGTTTTTTCGAATAAAAAAGAAACCTTTTTTAATTCACGAAAAAGAGATGTAATATTTCAGTATCTTTCTTTACCCTCACTGAAGATGTTGTTATATAGTTTTATTTCATCTACCAAACTTTATAAAGTAAACATTTTATCGCGAAGTTCACATAAACAATGATTATCATACCGACTTTCTTACATAATTAATTGTTTTCAAAACTGCTTCATATTAGGAACACCTTTTGTGTTTGGTCGTGTGGTGTTCAGTCGCAATACACGATCTCAGCTGTCTCAAAATTCCCTATACTATGTTGTATTTGGTGTAGGTACTGAATGAACATACGCTTCGGTTACTGCGCATATGCATTGTAATAATCAAATGTAGTAGCACATGCTGCCGAAAGTATTCTACTAATAAATATAAAACCTACACAACATATCCAGTCTTAATTTGAAATTGTAACTCAAACACTTCATTTAATTGATTATTTAACATTTAGAAATTACTTTATTCATAGTATTATTATTTTAGTAGACAAGTCATTTGGATAATTATTAAGAATATTTAATGTTATAATTTAATGATGATTACTATAATTTTGAATAGTATAATTACTGATGGCATAATATCTAATTGTTAAAACTGTGAAAGTATGATACGTATTACAATGTATATCCATATTAAGTACTATGTTTATATCTGTTATAACTCTAGTGATATTATTTTATTGCCATAGAGTGGTCCGATGAAACTAAGGCAGTTATCGCAGCTAGGTTCAGTAATTCAGTTAGGATTTACTCAACTCTTCTGTTCTACAAGATTTAAATAACTTTTTACTTTCGTCTCCGTAAGGTATATATTATTTACTTAATACTATTAAAATAATTTATTAGTTTTGTTTAAATAAATCGTATTTAGTAATTAAATCATACTATGTTATACATAGCAGCATTATAGACCAATACTACAGGCACTTCCGAACAATCGATACGATCATTATTGCGATTACGGTTTGTTCTGTTCCAAATGCTTATTATGCATTTTATGTAACATTAAATAATAATTGGAAACATTCAAAGAATACTGTAACATACAAATTTACAATGAAATTAAATTATTTACAATAAATTAAACATTTCAACAATATAAATGAATAATGGAATGTTCAGGAAATATAATACAATACTTAAATATAATGACAATAACTGCAATATAGGATTCACTTGTAACGCTATGTAAAATATTAGCAACCAGCAAGTTTTCTTAATGCTAAAATACAATAATTGTTGAGCTCTTATATATCTATCACACTGTTTTCCAGCCATTGGCAAGCCCTTGCTTTGTGAGCAAACATGGCAATACTCTATCGGCAACATTCATATATTACGTTATAATTTTCTCTACCGGACTCGCCACCCGTCGATTGACTTTCGACCGATAATTCCAATATTTCAGTCGCGGCAAACAAAAAAGTACTCTTGTTCTATAATAATCTCCAGAGCCGTAATCACAATTTTTAAGATTGAAATAGTCAACCGGGCGAGTGGTCCAAAAGCCTTTGAAAATCGGTTTTGGAATGACAATCAGACTTGTACGCTTACCGCAGTGGTCGGTGCATTTTGGTGTTACATGATGATGCAGCAGCGCCGCGAGCGCGTGTCGCCGACGACGTCGCTGGTGTTGCCCGAGAAGCGCGGCACGCTGGCGGCGCTGGGCGACAGGCTGAGCGGGTTCAGCTGCACCGGCATGTCGGCCTTCGACACCTCCGACAGCGAGTTCATGCTGTGGTTGTTGGTCGACGTCAGGCTACTCTCTACCGGGCTGCCGTTTGTTCGAATCTGAGATCGCTGCTTCTTCAAATCTGCGAGAGTTCCTGGAACACCCAGCACTGATTAGTATCAAACCTCACTACACATTACCGCTTCTACTGCGAAACATTCACTTTTGATGATAAGCATGGCTATTACATTCAAATTTTCTCAAAACGAAAAGTTTCTTAATCAACATTGCGGTGCGTTACTTTTAATTAAAATGTTAGTAAACATTTAATGCTTATCTTCATCATAGCAGTTCTACAAATTACGTAAACAAAATGTGTTGTAAAATAAACCGTAACATTTAGAAAGATCTTGGAAAAGAAATAGTGCAATCGACAGTACAGATAGGTAACAGAACAATAAATAGGTGACAGTTTGTGAGAATACGTGCACTGAACAAATCGACATCAAGTCCCAGTAACGAGTAGCACAATTAGGAACACAACGGACGAGCCACGCGCTAAGAACCAGCATGCAACTACAATGAGAGACTGCTTGCCTCATATGCATCCTCGAGAGTGAATCAATTCTGGAAACCGGCACACAGTCCCAACCTTCATTTACATTATAAACCGTCACTGTGCAAAACTGTTAGGTTAACTTTACAGATAAACTTGTTATAACTGTGCTATATATTGAGTATGTATATTAGATGTGCTTGTTACGGTCAATTTGAGTTCGTAAGGATGCATATAATTACCTGCGTTAATCATGACGGTGACATGAACATTGATTTTACCATTATTGTCTGTGGTGTAGGTCGCGGTGCCGCCTTCAGTGATCGCGATCTGGTTGGGGTTCACAACCAGTTCTTTCCTACCGTCTATCGCGTCCTCATTTTTGATAATCTCATTGTCCTGTCCCTCGGGCGCTTTTCTAACGCCATTGGGTAAGCTCGTTCTTTCGTAATGTTTGTTTTGTTCGTTGACGGCTTCGTGTTGCGCGGAGGGCGCGGGCTGTGCGCCGGGCGCGTAGTGCGAGGCGGCATTAACCCCGAACAGAGGGTTGGAGATCTTGTGGTGGCGCGAGGGCGCAAGGTCGGAGAGGTCGCTGACGTCGCTGGCGCGCTGCGAGCCGCCGCGCTGGCTGTACGAGTGCTTGGGCACCGCGTACTCCACGGTCGAGTCGTAGCTCTGGTTTGAGGTGGTAGAACTATTCGATAGCCGCTTGTGTGACAACTCCAGCGGTTGTAGGTTCGCGGTGTTCTGGTCGTTTTCCACGCCATTTGATAGGCCCTGTAACATAATAAACGAAATCTGAACGGACATCCTTCGGCATTCGAAACGGGTGGAAATTCTAATGAATGTAATCAGATTTACGAAGGATAATATCTGCAATTAGTTGATCATTCAGGTGCTTTGATTATCCGATTATAAAGCCGGTGATTTAAAAAGATATCCCATTTTACAGTAAAGCTACAAGAAAATCAACAAGCTCTAATTGTTGGGGTGGCATTTTTCTGACCTACGAAGATCTCATCAATACTTAGTCATAACTCGAGTACGACGCTTATACTCGTTTTATCTTAAAACTTATTGGTCTCATCGAGTTAAGTACTGATTATTAGAGGTGTATAATAATCATATATTATAGTCTAGTTTATCTAATGCTCTGATAAGTATGGCATGGACAATAATGGACATGTGATAAGGAGATACAAACATCATGAGGTAGAACGTGTTTTGAATTTTAATGTGGATGGAAAAAAAGAACTGGTGGAAGAAAAGGCGGATAGATTTTGTGGAGCAATGGACAATATTATAATAAAAAAGGCAGTTTTCCATAAAGGCCATTTGTTTTATCCTACTAAAACAGAAAAAGTCATTATGCGCTTAACACAAGTAACATAGGAATGAGCCCAAGTAATATAGAAACAAGAAGATAAAATTTCAAATGAGAACTTATTCGAATTAACTATTTATTAGTTACAACTTAATTGCAATCATAAACGTCAGAGACGTTGTCTACCTACTCAGGTAGACAATTACATGGTGAATGTGACATAAAATGACCAAAATGTCAATAAAGTACACCACGATACGAAAATAACAGAATTAACTAAAATTCGCGGGTTACTCACGTGTAAATGTTGAGAAAAGCTCTACTAGTTTCGAACCTACCTAGTTCTAGTAGAGCTTTTCTCAACATTTACACGTGAGTAACCCGCGAATTTTAGTTAATTTAGTATGTCTCACGATAGTTATTATGAAAATAACAGAATATTGTTTTATTTAAAAAGCATTTTGTCCTAACAACATGAAATGAAAAATACATACATTTATTTCGTAATAAATAGGCTTGAAAAATCACTAGGTATAACACTTCAACATTGCAAAAAAAGAAAAAAACCAAATGTGATTTTTATGGTACTTTTTATATCATATCTAGTTTACCAGACTACTTTGAGAAGATCTAGGAAGGCAAGTTTAAGGGTCTGTTTCACCGCCTTAATATAAGTTCCCGATAAAGGTTGTGGCACACAGTTCATAAAAATAAAACGTTCTATATTCAAATGTATCAGTCGCATGGCAGCTACTTAGGTAGTCATTGTGAAACTGGTCTCTCTAATTCAGTTATTATGAAAATAAAATAAATTACATAAATAAAAAAATATTATATCGTACCCGATATCGGAGCCCTAGGACATGCGGCTCCTTGCGCATGCGGCGCAAGTTGTCGTTAGTCAAAAACATAATATCCAAAGACATATTTGTAATCCGTAGTCAGCACATAACACTTGTAGTATCACATAGCCACATAATAATATCCTTTGAAAGAACAATGGTCAATACTTTATGAAACACCATAAAGGAAGAATTGAAGCTCGAAGGAAGATTTTTGTATATCAAAATGCATCGTCGAAAGAATAAACTTATGAACAATGAGCGGTGCGTGTTAGCTCGCTGACCAGACGGACTGAGGCGCGTGCGCGGCCGTCAGACGCCGCCAACCACCGCCTAGCGAGGGAAATCGCAGGAAAACTTAGTGAATCGCCCGTGTCGTCGATCAATGCGCCCGCCGGAACGGGATGCCGGCGCGCGGTGTCACGCACCACGCCTGATGAACGATGTACTAACTAGTCAAACATCGGACCACACTTAACGCACGAATCATAAAACATGAGCAGTAAACATTTTTGACGCATTTAATTTTATTTTGTTATTATTATTGTAACCTACGTTGTTCGACACTATTCTCAGCTTATTTACAACTAGGAAATACTTCGAATAACACAATTTAATTGTGTTCAATCTTGTGACGATATTCAAGTCGCATGTCTGCGTTATAGAAAGTTATGAACCAATTTTTCAGCCATTAATAATAATTATATATAAACAGATTCCGTGAAGCTATTACAAAGAGTGTACAAGCGAGAAGCGAGTGCAAATCAATCGCTCTAGTAAGTAACGAAGTGGGCAGGAACCAGTGTTATTAATGTTTAACACGACAAGCCTACGACACGGCCTTGATTTCGCGATGATTGCCATTTTGCATAGAGAAAAAAATTTCTAAGAAACATCTAGATCATCAAAAATGTTTAATTTATATAACAAAACCACAAATTCCTCTAGATTCGTCAAAGTTTACAAGACTGCACCAAATGTGTAACATTAAATTCTTTATGACGACACTAAATCTTCATTAGTGCAAGTTTGTGTCCGCATAAATAACTGAATGATACATTGTTGATGATATCAGTGAGTTACTAGACTTCTACGTCACGGCCTTGGTCCAACTGTGAGTGATAAATTATTCTATTGCAGTAATTACCGTCGGGAGCTGAGATGAAAGCAGAGAAAGTACGACAAAGCGAACGTAAAAACAACGGTCCAGTGTTCAAATCGTTCACTTAGCTCATACCGATAGGCGTGGTGAACATTGTTCGTATTTACCTTCATAATGGTATTGTAGAAAACATTTAGGTTTTTTATCAGCGATCAATAAGTACCTAAGTAAATAAAAGCTATGTATAATTCTATCCTCAAACTGTGATGTCAAAGCATTTCGCACTTTTATCTGCGTGCTCTAAGTGCTTTTCAATACCAGCTTTGTATTATATTGCGATCAATAATAATAAATATTATACATGTATTGTGTATGTTATGTCCAACGAATGTTGATTGTAAACAGAGAAAATTAATACAATTTGGCAACACATTCCGAGCAAAAAAATGTTAATTGGTTGTTAACATTTTTGAAGGTAGATAAATGCAATGCCCTTGATATAATTGCAATAAGAAAGAAAGTAAAAGTACAATAATTATAAGGCGTTGTTACAATTACTAGATTATCATCGAGATTATTGCGTACGATGTGTTCACAGAGTCCCAGAACAAACACTGCTAAAGTGAGATGAAAACACTATTCCTTCAGATGCTGATACTGACAAGTAATTTCGAAAGTATTGTAACATGTCGAAAGCCAATCTTATCATGAAGGTTTATAGAATTTTTAAGTACTTTCCGGAATAAGTATCTATTTTTGTTATTAGTAGGTTGGCAAACAACAGACGGATTACATGATGACGGATTTGATGGTAAGTGTGGGAGAGCCATGCTTCGGCACGAATGGGTCGGCTCGACCGGAGTGATACCACGGCCTCACAGAAAACCGGCGTGAAATAACCACTGCGTTGTGTTTCGCCGTGTGAGTGAGGTTACCGGAGGCCCAATCCTTCCCCTTCCTCAATCCCTAAATCTCCAAATCCCTAATCCCTAAAAGGTCGGCAACGCACTCGTAACTCCTCCGTTGCGAGTGTCCATGGGCGGCGCTGATTGCTTACCATCAGGTAATCCGTCTGCTCGTTTGCCGAGATATTACATAAAAAAAAAGCAATCAGCGCCGCCCATGGCAACCCACAATACCAGAGGCCGTCCTCAAAATTACGAGCGCTTTGCCGTGCCTTTTGAGGATTAGGGTTTCAGAGATTCCAATCCCTAAGATAAGGGAGGTATGGTGGAGGGAAAGAATGGCCCTCCGGTAACCTTAATCAAACGGCGAAACACAACACAGTGGTTGTTTCACGTCAGTTTTCTGTGAGGCGATAGTATTACTCCGGTCGAGTCAACCCATTCGAGCCCAAGCTTGGGTTTCCGACACTTAAAATTATCACTGTTGATGCATATCTGATCTGATTAAATGTGTAGCTCAGCACCTAAATACATTTATATCAAAGCTTTCTTTAATCACAAGAAATCCTATGAAACAGATTGATGTGCCAAAACCATAAAAACTGACAAACATGCTCTCGTATTTTCTGCCATAATTGCCAACGATTTCCGATTACTTGTAAAGATAGCGTGCGATGATTGCTATTTTTTTTAGAGGTACATATAGTTATAATTTCTCGTTCATTCGTGCGATAAATTAATTAATCCATTACTGGCACAGCCATAAACTCCGTCTACTATTTTGGATAACTGTTCCATACTGGCGTGTAAAGAGGTACTATCGTTTCAGCGTTTTGTTCTTCGCTCTGAGCTAAATATTTGTATCATCATCAAATTTTCAAAAAGATTAAGAACTGGGTTGTTATTTTAGTCTAAAATAAATTAGGTACCTATTTCATCTTTTCAATGCAAGAAAAATATTTGAAAATATTTTTTATTACAATATATCAACTTCATTTTTCTGGATTTATTCAAGAAATAAGTATCTTGTATCATACGACATTCATAGAAAAGTATCATATTTAGCATTTCTATAGGAAATCTTTAGATAGGAAAGAGACTGACATTTAAAGAAGTAAACACAGTACTGAACCACTTAATTTAAAAAATCTTAAAGTACCTACGAGTACATTAAAAACTGTTTAGGAGCTATAAATCACTAACTTAACCGATCCTTCAGTAATATCAGTGCTTCAATTAATCATGAAATATTTCAACCGTTACTACGTATTTAGGCCCCCTTTTAGTATAAATGTGTGATATAACAGGATTGTACTTGTATGCAACAATTACGACCAACCTCTATTAAACTACGTCTTTCAACTTTATGATTTTGACATAAAGTCTAAATTCCAGTGAAAAAGACCAGGCTGGAGTAGGTTGACCAGCTGGTGTCTGTTAAGTGAGGAAACGTCTCGATTAGATCCAGTACGAAGCTGGTTGCGCCACATACCTTCTGTTAATACGAACGTAAAAGCGTGTATTATTACTTCCCATATAATTGCAAGCCAATTACGCACTAAGCTGAAGTCTACACTGTACATTAAACGATAAAATTTGCACTACAAATGTACACAGACATAATAAATTATGAGCAAGTGCTTTTTGAGTTTTATAGGTTTTAAATCTATCTTAAGCACCTATATTTCATTCGATAGGATTTCTATAAAGATTTCAGAATGCGACATTTATTTCTTTTTATTACAAATCATGTTAATGGATGCCTTACATATGCCCGGTTTCCGAAAGCCCGATCAATGTTAAAATCATCTAACTAGGTGTCAAATCTCTTGTCAAGTCATCTGATTGGTTGTTGATAATTCAGTCAACCAATCAGATGACAAGAGATTAAATTGGTTTTAACATTGATAGACCTTTCGGAAACCGGGTGTAGAGTGACAATTGGGTAGTTCCCTAGGTAAAAATGAATTAATTCGACGTTTCAATACAATAAAATATTAAAAAATAACTATACTTTTATTCATCGATCGATCGATACACTAAGTTTTAGATGTTTTTAGTTAATTGTTAAGAAATACTATTTAACGCAAAAATGTTATGACGTCAAAACTCAGTTTTTCATACAAATTTCATAGAAAAGTATCGTTTTTAACGTTTGGATAAAAGTATTGAATTTGACTATTTAGAAACTACAGTATTCCAGGGAACTGATTTACGAACCTATGATTTTATATTTAGTAGAGACATAGAAAAAAGGCAAGAACATACTTATATTAAGACATTCAAGCCTACATAAGATACTGACTATCAGTAAAATCCGTTTCGCAAACCATAGCCTTGTAAGGAAAGGTCAAAAGGATAGAGATATGTGCAACGAAATATAAGATTATGATAATTTAACCAGGATAAAACTTGTCTTGCCGGTCTTAAAAACATTACATACATTGTAATTTAAATCATGCAAGCATAGTTATTAACTTTATAACAGACTGGAATTTTATATTCAAACATGAGCTAGGTAAGTAAATTAATTTGAGTATCTCAGGTGTAACTTTACGCAACGCACAGATACAAAATGGCGATAACCTAAAAATCCATCCGCATTTTATAATACGCAACTGGCTTATTACCATATCCAATTAGATGTTTTATTATTAATTGTTTTTCATAGCAGAACATTGTAATCGAATCCCATTGCTTTGTTTTTTTTTTTGGAATATCATCGGTCGAATTCCTCCGCCCCAAGTTGACGGCAGTGTCAAACTCTTATTGGCTAATACTATCCTGTTTCATCACCTAGTAGCATCGGCCCTAGTATGTCATTGCATTTAACCGCCTCGAATCCTTGAAGAGTTATTCAAATCATTGACAGAAAAAACAGTTCACTTTGAATTGCAACCGATTGTAATGATTACATTGTGATGCTGATCTTTTCAATTATCATATCAGGCGATGCTTATCTATCCTGTTTCAGTTTCAATCAATATTACTTATTTGCCAAAAATATAGAAATTAACTAGCTTTTTTTGCGTGTTTGATGTATTTTTGCTCATGCAATAACAGAGGCCTTTCGTTACACTATCTCAATATCTCACTGCCCCTAATGATGAATGCTAAATGAGTTGCGTATGGCTTTATTTTATTTATTGTGCTTTGTACCTAATTGAGCATATTTTGCAAAATATAGACTTACTTATAAAAGATTGGGTATTTATAATATAATCAACATAATACAATACTTAATGACCACAAGCCGATGTATTCTGGCGGGTAATAATTGTATAAATGAGAACAATTACACAATAATACGCGAAACTCGGTACACATTAACAATGCGTTGTAAATAGCGTGTCGTGTCGCCACTCAGTTTCCCTTTCACAGTAAACCACCGCTATATTTTGGGTTCCGTGTGGCTCACGTATAATTTTATGCTAATAATGTAATTAATTTCACTTGTTATTGTTTTAACTAGGAAATATGCATGTTTATTAAGCGCAAAAGTTAGTATCATTTATTATCATATTTTTTTGGATATTTTTGCTATAGAAACATTGTTTAAATTTACGTGTAACGAAGCAAGAACGAGTACAGTGTAGGATGGAATTGGTTTAGAAACTCTTCAAACAAAACCTTTACCTAAAATTTAAAGGAACGTTACATAACAGTAATTATTCGGTCGCTCATTATCATAATTTGTACGGAACACGATGCGTGCAACAGACGTCTGAATTTCATTACTTGTACGTTGTACACGTATTGTCGGTTTTTCATATTTTTCCTTCGCGAAAGTCGAAAGCGGAATATTAATTCGGACGGACAATGACGTCGGCGTCGTTATTAAAATAGCTCCGAGCACGAGATCTGTGCTCATTATGATAATGATAATGGCATGTATGCAATGTTGCGTGTCACGTATGTTACAGACGCAACGCTGCAACTATGTAGCTTATGAGGGTTGCAATGTTTGTTTCTGTTAGTAGTCTCAAGTAGTTTTCACATGCTAACTTCAGTGTTTAGGAGGTGGTATTTTTATTTGGATATTGATTGTATCGGTGTTAAAATATGTATACTAGTGGTGCAATCCATCAGAATAACGGGCACTATATACCATCAATATAAAATTAACAGAGAAAATCTTATCGTTATCTACTACTGTAATTAAATACGAATATACATAAAATAAGATACAATTAACCTTTTGGAACTACAAACTAAGCGCGCTTTTAGGCAAGACAAATAGCGGACGCAAAAAGCCATATTTTATAAACAGAATTCAGTAAATAATTTTGTTTTTTTCTGGATGATTGTCGTACCCCGAAGGTTAAGGCCCGCTTCTCATGCATGAGGAGGCGTGTTGGAAACCTGGCAAGTACCAATGTACTTTTACAAGTCATATACACCTACTTTTTAAGTTCATTTAGACACCATCAATGGACGATGAAAAAAAACAAAGTGAGGAAATCTTTTATTGCGGAGGACAAAATCATCAAATGCTGATGATTTTGCTCGGCCCCGGCTGATGTTCAGCCGGGGTTGCCGGTTAAGCGCAATGAGTCACTGCGGCCTCGGCCCAGAGCAGGAGGAAGGAAGGAAGGGGGTTTTTAGTCAGTAAGAGTCTGACACTTTCTCTCGCTTTACCTTGGGCGGGAGAAGTAATTTGATGATTTTACCCTGACAAAAAAAGGTATGTTAGAGGCAGTTCTGAATGCCGTCCGCCTTAATAGTCAGCCAATAGCCTTACATGCTATTAGTCTCATATTAAACTCTTTGTTTCCCACTAATGGATTTCTAATGTGAAACATCGCATCGAATAGCACAATCACCCGTTAGTCTTGTCATTGTTAGGTACTTACAACGATGAACAATACGGCGCATTCCAAGTAGTCAAATTCAATAGGTGATTTTGAAATATCTACACAGATCTATTAATTTTGTACAATATTGAGTGTGATGTATCGCGTCCAATAACTTATTGACTCGAGAAAGGTATCGTCAACAGTTTTCATTGTAAATTGTATTCTTTACGAGACACTATATAAGTGATCTTTTCTTCGCATTGTCCAACCTCTAGAACAAAACCTTCGCGAGTGTACGAAACATACATTTTCTTCACAAATTGACTAGAAATATACAAAATTAAGTATTCTATCAAATCAAAGGGTGATTTCATAATAATACAATACTAGATTTTGAAACAAATTGGATAAATAATTAGACGCATACATTGAACAGATCCTGGATAAATGTCTACAGAAATTAGCATATAGGCTTAGGAATTGGACAAAAACCGGGCCGCAACATTCTCTGATAAACCTCAAACTTTAAAACTAAAATCTTAAACTCACTTAAACAAAATTGAAAATCTATTCAGTCGGTCAGTTGAATATTGAAAAAAAAACATTAGACACGCATTATTCACTCTTTAAATTTACTAACAAAAACTTCTTTGATTACGTCACTGCAAAATATAAAATTTTCTTAGCAGTGACGTCACGCGATATTTATCGACAAATAAATCAATTAATTGTTGGAAGCTTTTGATTCCGAAATAAACGAAAAGAAGAACATCTATACTAATATTATAAAGAGGTAAAATTTGTAAGTTTGTGTGTTTGTAAGTTTGTATGTTGGGGGTCATTTTTGGAACCGCTCGCTGGTCGGATTGACAAAATTCTTTCACTGATAGATACAATGTGTACTACAATGTTCCTGAGTGATATAGGATATAAAACACGGTACGATCAAATAGAGCTGAGCCGCTTCAGTAGTGAAGCCGCGCGAGATTAGCTAGTGTCTAATATATTGAAATAATCCAAATGTCATTTTTGTTTTAATTTTCTTTTTTGTAGAGGATCCATAATCTAGACAGTTGATGAATAATGATTATGATGATAGATTCCTTATAAAATTGTACTTAATATAAACTGACCTGTAGCTCGTCATCGACAGCGGAGTCGAAGGTCTCCCTGAGTCGCGCCTCGCCGCGTACGTCCGCCTTGGCCGTCAGCTGTTTCTCACGCAGCGACGTGCGCCGCACCGACCGGACCCTGCTGAGAGTACTGTGTTTTACCGAACTTGTTCATTAATACAGATAAATCCTATTAATATTATTAGCGAAAACTTCTAAGTATGATGGATGTTTGTTACCTTTTTATGTGAAAACTACTGAATGAGTTTATTTGAATGTAATTAAATTAGATATTAAGATAGGTTAAAGTCTGGAATTACACATAAGATACTTTTTTTTTTAGTTATTTATTTACAATGAAACAATGAATTTATTTTTGCAAATAGGCCATGAAACGGCACTTTTACACGTCAAATTATATGTGAAAAACTAGATGAAGCCGGTATTTCCTATCTGACTACTCTGAGAAGAAATGCCGAAACAAATTCAGAGGTCAGTCTCTTTTCAAGTCCAGACAATGTAAAATAACATAATGGGAGAGAATCGTGCAAGTTCATTCTGTAGTGGTCTTTTGATGAAAGAACCACACCAGTTTAAGTGGACCCGTTCTGAAGACAGGCACGCAAGTGTCAGTTTGCAACCAGTATAGCTAGTGCTGCTGAGTTGTCCGACGAACAATACCGATCAAAAGAACATTTGGGTGGGTCGCGCAAGTACTCAAACTGTCAGAACGCAGATAACTGGTAATCACAGGCAAAGTATTGAATATTGCTATTTTATAATAATCGTATATTATATTAAATTGGTCTTGTTGGTTTTTGTGTGAATAACAAGGTTTCTTGCCTAAATTACGAAACCTTGAGGAAAAAATACTTATTTCTTGATTGGATCGGGAAAGTTACAACGAAGATTTGGCTTTGAAAACACTTAATAGCATAAATAGAACCACAATTTCAAGTAATTTTTCTATCTAAAACGGTACTTCGTGGCGTAACTTGATATACATAGTCAGGAAGAATTGCTAATAGACCAATAAGATCACATTCTGACGCTGTATAATACAATTTGTATGAGACTTAAGCCATATATTTGGCTGCTGGTGATAAATAATGGTAATAAGTAGTACCGGCTAGTGCTAGCGCTGGAAGAGGACCGTCGCGCCGTCCGCAGGCGGTCGGCGGCCGCGTGTCGCCTCAGTTCCTCCTGGTCCGCCGCCAGCCGCAATATGCGCGCGCGTAGCTCACCCTCCTCACAAATATCTGCCAACAAAATACATTATTTAAAACAAATACTATTTAGTAGCTTGCATTAAAGCTGTCAGAGGCAGTTGAGAGCTGTTATTTGTAGATTAGGGTCACATAAACCCTTCTTTTGGCTATCGGGCTAAGAACACTTTTTTTGTACAAAAGTAAGCGCATACACACGGGCCAAGTCCTGTTTTCACAAAAAGTTGTTACTACACATATTTCAATTCAGAAGGGTTTTGAGATAAAACACACACCATACAATACGGTAGTTTCCAACTAGTCAAATTCAATACTTTTATCCAAACGTCAAAAACGATATTTTTCTATGAAATTTGTCTAAAAAACTGAGCTATGACGTCATAACTTTTTTGCGTCAAATAGCTTACTTATTTCTTAATAATTAGCTAAAAAAATCTAAAAATTAGTATATCGAGCGATCGATGAATAAAAGTATAGTTATTTTTCAATATTTTATTGTATTGAAACGACGAAATAATTTATTTTTAACCTAGGAAACTACCCAATTCAATTATACGTTATGCAGTTGGTAGTATGTAAAAAGGAATCTCTCTATAGCGAAACACATTTTTTGAATTTTGAATTTAGAAACCTAAGTTCCGCAATACTTTTGTAGCTTTACAACAAGAAATAAATTAAAAATTACCAGCTGGCGTTTCATCGTGCTTATTCCTCACGTTGAGATCAGCGCCATATTGTACTAACAGTTCTAGAACCTCCAACTGCAACGAAACAAAACAAACAAACATTACCATTTATCTCTACAATAACATTGTGAGTCAACAAACTTGTTACCTGTAAACACTTAGAACTTGTTCAAGATAATATTTAAAGAAAATATGTACCTAGGTGTTATGTAAATACTAGAAAACCTTCGTCTGTTATTCAAATTTATAATTTCTATTTGTTACTAAGTTAAACTTGCGTTTTATAACTACTATAAGGTTATTGTATTTTCCTTTTATAACCTGCTCTTCTGGTACAAACCAGTTTTTATTGCTTACTCATTATAAAGCAGATACAGACAAATATAGCTTAAACATATGTACGTGTATATAATGTTTAAGCCAGATTTGTTTGTCAAAGTAGTTAGCTAATCCAATAATCCATTTATAGGATTACATTGGGTAAACAAAAATCTTTAGTTTTTACTTGTAAATCTACTGGTAAGTCAGTAAGTAACCTTTTATGCTTGTCGACTTTCGAAATGATTATTTGGATAATACCTAATAATAAATACTATTTTTCTCTGGCTCAGACTTAAAAGGAATAAGAACAGTAACTTAGGAGATCGCATGCTTTGGCACGAATGGGCTGACTCAACCGAAGTTATACAGTACGCACAAGAAAATCGGCGTGAAACAAAGGATATGTTGTTTTTCGCCGTTTTAATATCACACATAATAGTCACATGAGGCCCAAACCTCCACTTCCCTATTACGAATTCCCAGAGGTGTTTGATAGGCCAGCAAAGCACTTGTAAAATGTCTGGTATTCCGATTGCCTAACGTATGTTGATCTGTGGGCTAGTTTGCTGAGCTATTACATAAAAAAAAACGAAGATGTGACAAATTATAGCTCAGTGATGAGGCATAAACCGTGTTCGAGTTCCACTTATAATTCAATTTTTTTAAACTAACAACAGGATTTTTAAATCTCCTTTTTGCTTAAAGCTACTTTTTCATGATTACTTATTTCAATATAATAATATTTCAAATATTAACGTACATGTCCCCAGCAGGCGGCGGCGTGTACAGGCTGCCACATGTCGTGGTCCACCACGTCGGTGGAGGCGCGGTGCTCCAGTAGATATTCCACCACCTTGATGTAACCATTCGCTGACGCTATGTGTAACTGGAACAAGGAATGAAACAATTATATTATATGGTTTTCTCCAATAAAACAATTGTTTAAGAGCTATGAGATTTTTAATAACATCTAAACTAATATTATAAAGAGGTAAAATTTGGAAGAGTGTGTGTAGGGGTAATCTTTAGGATCGCTAGACGGATTTCCAAAACTCTTTCACTGATGGATAGCTAGACGGATTTCCAAAATTCTTTCACTGATGGATAGCTACGATGTTCTTGAGTGTCATATGCTATAAAACATTACCCTACGACAAATAGGAGTCAAGCAGCGGGCGAAACTGCGTGGCATTAGCTAGTTTCATATATTTTTATAACACGTCATAAAGTCTGATACATAAAAACAAAAGGAAGATATTACAAATGTTAACTGTCTGTGGCTAGATTTAGCAAAACCTTGAGATATAATTGTAGGGCGACATAAAAGGACGTTGTAATTACTATTTAAACACACGCGTCACGATTTTTACTTCTCACTTTAATACGTTAATGTTAAGAGCACGTTGGGTCGTTGGCTGGAGTTGTGTGTAATCAAAATGTCACATTCAACACCAAAATTAAATACCACACGTGTATTTATGTAGTGATCGACCTTTCTATAAAAATTTATTAACTTACTTAATAAAGCATAAAAAATAGATTACCAGAAAGGAGTTTTGAAGAAATAACACACAAATATAACCATTACCTATTCTTTTTCTCTCCAGTATTTTAGCAATGTCATCAAAATAAGGAGTCGATCGAACTTTCTAGAATAATATATTTACTTACTAAAAATACACAGCATAAGAAAAAGGCAATACTCACAAGCGTCGCACCCTGATTATCCCTTGGTTCATCCAAATCCATCCCTGCTTTCACTAATTCATCGACATCCCTCAACATTTTCATTTCGGTCGAAGCTCGTGTGTCGTCTATTAACCTTTGGGTAACGCCTCTGGCGGCCATTTCGCTTTCTATCGCGTCCAGCGTCCGCTCCTCTTCGCAGATGTCGTAGGGCATGTTGCCGTCGCCGTTGACGGCGAGGAGGTTGGCCCCGCGCTGTATGAGTACCCGCACGAGGTTGAGGTTCCCGCAGGTGGCGGCGGCGTGTAGCGGCGTCCACTTCTCGCTGTCCTCGGCGTTGACGTTGGCGCCGTGGTCGAGCAGTAGCCGCATCATGGCCTCGTTGTTGTCGATGCAGCACTGGTGCAGCGCCGTCAGGCCGTCCTCGTTTGTCGCGTCCGGCGTCACGCCGCGGGACAGTAAACGCCGCACTGGAATCACCAAATACATTTTGACTACATTTTTGTAATGAAAATACACACCTACTGGGTTTTATGTTATCTCGATGATCATGGTGTAATTGTCCGACAAGGGTTCATATAGTTTTCTAATTCCCCAAAGTATTTTGTCAATCATATTATTAGTAAGTATAGGTATGTATAAGGAGTATAATAAAATTAATAAAATTTTGTCAAATATTGGACATTTCTAAACTACATAATTCTAATGTATTATGTAGTAATGGTCAATTGGTGAACCTAATAAAACGCGTACCGAGATTAAAAGCAATCTTCTTGATGCGAAGCAATATTGTTTTGACAGGTTTTGACCAAGACATCAATAAGTACAGTACACTTCAAGATTTACTAGTACCTACAATTATTATTTTTATACGATGCTCTGAAGAAGGTTTGTATTCTGTTTGCATAAGTTGTACGCTAATAGCTTTATTGTGAAGATAATTGCATGCATAGCATCAATAATTATGATGACATACGAACGTGACGTCAGGCTTGCAATTCAACAACTTGGAACTACGCAATCTGTGAGAACTTGTAGGTAATATGAGAGCGAATACATAGTAATATCGGGGGACAAGTGAAATTACAATATGAAAGGTATTAGAGACAATAAGTAAACACAGTACTAGTCATTAGGCTTCCCTAATAATCTCATTATGATATACAGTGTGTAATTGGCCGGGTAATAACGACACAATGTCGCTTTTATTGACTTATTTATGAAACTACTTTATACTTGACTGTCACCTGACCAATCAAGAACAGCTGTTTATTATTATAGGTACAGCGATATATTTCTAGATACAAACTTGTTGAGTAGTTTTTCTAATGTAGGTACATAGTGCCATATGGCCGTATCTCGGATGCAATTAATTAAAATGTTACTTGAATTGAATTTTGTAAGAAAGAAATCTTCTTATATATAAAAATTAATCGCGAACTGTGTTGGTAAGCGCATAACTCAAGAACGCCGGAACCAACCTTGCCGATTCCTTTTTTATTATGTTCGTTATTGTTAGGAGAAGGTTCTTACGACAGAAGACTTTATAAACTAAAGGAGAATATCGGGAATTAACGACCCTTTCGGTGCTGTGGCCGTACACTTACAAAAGAAATGCCTGACCGGGATAGTCGGATACCCGTGCAAAGCAGGGACAGTCCGCTAGTAACACATAAATATAATAATTACCTGTTCCGTTTCTGTCTAGTCTTTTAGTAATGTCATAAAAATAAGGAAATTATAAAAACGAGTAGCACAAGGACACGAAATGCACCGAGACTTGAGACTATTACTTAAGTACTATAAGTTAATAACTTTAGCATAAGTCGTACCTTAGCTGACCTTTAAAAAGTTCTCATTCAATGAATTATCAGAACGATGTCGTAATCAGCACAGGTGCAGACCTTGTGCTAATCAAAACATTGCATTAGTCAGCCGCGAACCCGACAAGTTCCTTACAACAAATTACTGTGGATAATAACATAATTGCTCGTCACTTTAAAATGTTTAAACGTTGTAAAATTTAATGTGTGAGCTCTGTGATAACAGATGATTTATGGCACGAGTGCAGATGTACTGAAATCGAAATGCTTCGGATGCTATAGAAAAGATGGCGTATTTTTTATGCAGAAACGGGAGAAGAAATAAGGAAAGGCGAGAAAGGGACGGAGAGTTCATAATTTATTTCGATTTTTCATGGCCGTTTATGAGATTAGGCACCCATTCATCTTATCGATTGGATGCTCAATTAGGTCATATTAATAGAACTACAAGTGTTAAATTGCCCGGCGAACCCTACTCTGCCATATTATAAGGACGGTAGGTAATCGAGTACTTCACCCCAAATCTGATCCATTTTAAAAGAAGACAGTTTTAATATACACTATGAAGAGTAGGTAGTTAAAATTTGGACTCAAGAGTTAAGAAATTAGGACCGAAAATATAGATGATTTCATTGGTCTACGAGTGTTTAACTTGATTGATGAAGACATTCATAAATGTCAGAAGAATGCAGCATTAGAGACGCTTTAAACTATCGCTGGAGTTTAGTATGAATAACAATTTTTAGGCATTAGAAAACTCAAATTACTTCAGCGTATTTTGTGGATAGACTTACCAATATGAATTAGCTAAGTAACTGCAACCTTTTACGTCGGAAGGGGCAATTTGGACGAAGTTATCTATAGTTAACAAGCTGTAATTACTCTGATTGTTAAAAAGCAGTCGCTGTAATTAATATTTTTTATGGAATAAATCGGCAAACGAGCATACGGATTACCTGATGGTAAGGAATCGGCGCCGACAACGGACACCCGCAACACTTAAGGAGATAAGAGTGCGTTGCCGGCCTTTTGGGGATAAGGGTTACGGATATAAACATTCACCCACACGGCGAACCACAACGCTGTGGTTGTTTCACGCCGGTATTCTGTGAGGCCATGGTATCAGTCCGGTCGAGCCGACCCTTTCCTGCCGAAGCTTGGCTCTCGCACACTTACTACTTAATGTAGTTAACTACGAATGGCTCCAAATATATTTACCTTCGTCTATATCGTTCCTAGCCGCAGCTTCCAGCAACATCACGCTATCACTAAAGTATATACTCCGCTTGTTGCTCTTCTCCCGTTTCGCTCGAGAACGCAGCCATTCTTTCTCCCGTTGCTGCCATAGTTTTAACTGCTGCATTCGTCGTCTGAAACAGGATAAAGGATGTTGAAAGTATATACTAATTATAAGAGCGGGCGTAAGAATCGGAAACTAGAATTGGACAGTGACCTTAAATTATATGCAAAAGGACAGGAAAGTTACAATGCAGAGGAAGATACGAAACATACAACTTCTGCTACTACTGAAATTACGAATGCGGGTAATGTATTAGCTAATTAACAATTCTATAATCCCCTATAACTCGCAGATAACTAGTGTCACCGCGCACTGTACCTAAATATTTGATATGTTTTACCTAAATATTTGATATGTTTACCTTTCGAAGTCCGCAGTAGTGAATACAAAATGTCTCATAGAATATCCTTATAAAGTAAAGACATGTGTCTAATTTTAACATCTATTAGCGACACAAGTTATTATCACTCAATAAATATGAATTTGTAAAGTGGTCCATTGTCGTGTTTTGTTCATACATACGTTGAACGATCGACCTCCAATGCCTTCGTGGCGTCCGACGCGGATCGCCCACTTGACGCAAAATTCAACAACCGTATATGGATTTATTCTCGGTCAATTGTCATGTTTAGCAAAATAAATTGGTGTGAAATGAATACATGCGTCGTCTCTTAGCTTCAACAACAGTAGTATATTAATTAACAAGCTGTCACATTGATAAATATATCGTAGAAGCACAATTAAGGGATTGCCTTGGTATTTTCCATGTGATGGATAGGGTTTCTTATTGAAATTGTGTACAATAAACTTGTTAGACGGTCTAACATAAAACAAAGATTGTATGGGCAGGAAATGTTAACTGTAAAGGATAAATACAAGGGTAATCGTATGTCGAACGTCAGTCAGTATGTACTGAATGGGTAATGAAGCTGTACAATGCCTTGTTTATTAGGCATGGCATGGCAATCCTCTGTGTTGTACATAACTCGAACGGAGTGACAGAAGTAATTCTTTTAGATATCTTATATTCTGTTAGGTCACTCAATCTTGACACGGCCCGCATTTCAAAATGATAACGATGCGATGTATGAAACACCTCGGTACCCACACAAGCGCCCAGATACCGGGGCTTATTTTCGTAATCCATTTCATACAGCTACGACACGGCTTACAGCTATTCCCACATGGGTTTTAACTTAACAGTAAACTGTCATGCAATCATAAAAAGTGAAAACAAGGTTTCACTTTATATTTATAATGCCTTTCATAATATAGTTCAGAATTGGCAATGAAATACTTCCTAAGTTTTATTCCGTTTACCATGGTAAGTAAGAACGTTAACGTTATCTCAGCCTGTTTCAGTTTATTGCCCCTTAAACTTCACTAACAATGGTTCAAGTACTTCGAACATTAAGTTCAACCTTTACTGAATCTTGGAGCTTTACGATACAAAGATAAAAATAAGAACAAAGACGAAAATCCATACATCACTGTCAGTTTATGATACTTCATAAAAAAGCAATAAAACCGTTTTAAAAGCAGACGCTTTTTATTTTTAAACTACCGTGCGTGTATAATCGGAAGTTTTCCCAAGCACGTTTGTTTCTGATAGCTGTTATCACACGTGAGCTAACTCCGTTAATCTGTGTGACGTCGGAGACAGGTAAAGGATTAGGTACATATACCTACATACACCTACAGCGATGTAAACAGCACAGTGTACTTGTGATATATATCTCATGTTGACATAAATCCATACACGGCGTCTATCAAGTGTAACCTGTTAAAGATTGTGTACACATTCAACAATACTATGTGTACTTATTGTATACATACATATATTATGTACATGTATATAAATATTCTATACATATCTATGTATATAGTAAATGAAGATATCGTCGCTTTCACTATCTGTTAAAAGGGACAGTAAATACGTTAGTTTCCAAATACAAAATTCAGTACATAGGTACCTAGGCGTTATTATTGATATTTAGTCTAGATTTTTTTTAATACAATACAAAATCACCAAGTCGATGACTAAGTAGTCTAAGTACTCGTAATGGAAAGTCAAGAAACTGGAGAGTTAATTTTAATGCCAACTTTCCAATATTTGTAGGCGTAGTGTTCTTTAAACCCAAGATAATTTCACTTCATGTCGAATCATTACGGTAATTACTTAAATGTTTCGGTTTAAGTACTCGTATTTTATTAAATAACCAGCTTAATTATTTTAAAACACGGTTTAATGCAAATTGTTTCCTACAAACTGAATGAGTTACATTTTTCGTGTCAAAAATTTTTTCACAAATAAGATTTGCGCCACGCGCCAAATTGATGAACTATTTTTGGGAAAAATGGCACTTAACTGTAATAGTGTTTTAAGGTTTCTGGATTGGGTTAGACAGGCTATTTACTGTAAGTGTGTGGAGGATTATAGGGCTGCCTGCGAAGTTTATGACAAAACCTAATATTGACTTCAATGTACTTTTATAAGTATAGAAGCTGCTAAATACATTCAAATACTATTTTTAACAAAAGTATTTAAAATTAACATTTTCTTTTATCAACTTTTTAAGGCATGCTTTCTAATTGATCATTAATCTGTTTGTCTCGGTATATAGTTCGATATTGTTCTTAAAACCATAATGTTCAAAAGTATGCGCTTATGCAAGCGAAAAGGGAAAGTTTGAATCCGGATGGATACAAAACAACACTCAAAATAACATCATTATCTGAAGTCTTACTCTTAAAAAATAATACAAGTCGGACAACGTGAATTCACCTATCAGCCCTGCTCGATCCATACATCAACCTTTATCTAAGACTGGCATCTTCCACGATAAAAAATATTAGATACGTATTTCTATCAAAACTTTACATTTTTTATCCACAAGTAACATAGAATAATAATGTTAATGCTACTTATTTGCCTAATCATTCTTATCAAGATTACAATTATTCACAAATTCATTAAAATTACCTACGATTAATCAAATAGTTTGCTTGGGTGATATTTAAACTTTAAACAGGAAAAAGGTTGTATCAATTCTCGTTCTTTTTTCTTATTACAACAGACGACCTCGTTGGTGTAAAGGTCTACTTTATCGAATAAAACGCGACATCGAATTTTATCCCTCCAAGGGACAGGGAGAGGCAAATTTAAAGCATTTATTTCAATAAATCCTTATCCAGGCTCTTGTAAAAGGGAAAAATTGAATTCACCAACAATCAACCGACTTAGTTACTCGTACCAAAATTTAGATTCGTAGCAAGAAATTCTAAAATGGTTTTTTAACATACTTCGCATCAACTGAGAGCCTGCCCCGTATAAGTTATGAAGGCCGAGCCTCAGGCCATATTCAGGCACAATTTTAGATTCGGTTGTTTCAAAGAATGTCCAAAAACCTATTAGTTAGTAGGTACTTTGCTAGTTAGGTAGTGATACTTGAGACGAGGCAAGCACGAAATTTTTAAATCAATTGATTACTGAATACTAAAGAATTTTAGCTCATTGCTGTGTGAAGTCATCATACTATCCACAATGACTCTGTACTACTTTTGGGAAAGACGTAAAACATACTGTATTGCACTTTGTCTAAGTAAACGTAAAACTGTCTTTCAAAGCCCCACATTGAATGCTATGAACACAAGGAATGCTTTCCACTACATTAATCCTACTTTCATAGCAATTTTACAGCAAGCACTTAGCTATAATTCACAAATAAACATTTGTTTGTGGACAGACAGATAGCCAACAATATCATCACTTTGTAATTAATAACTTGCGTTTCACCATTAATTTCAAATTAAATTTAACATTACTATCATTTAACAATTGCAATCAACATTTTAAATATTGATGTTTATTATGACTGCATTGTTAACTTGGAACATACTGCTTCGTGATGTGTAGCTGTTTGGATTCCTGCACGGGGCAGCTCTCTATGTAATTCAGAAATTATTGTTTCAGCATTGGGTATTATTTTCATGTTACACTTTGTTTATGCAGACTATAAATAAAATAGAATAGATATAAATAAAGTTGATAGTAGTACTATTCAGATTATAATAAATAATGATATATCTTAATAACACCAATAAAATTACTACATACATAAGATAGTTAATAGGAAATCTTATAATATTATCACAAGGATTTTCCTTAAACAATTTTGTGTAGTGGTAAAAACCAAAAGCAAAAAAATTTAACATTACTCAACAAATCTTACATTGTACAGATCCACTTGGTGATAATGTCAAAGAGCAATTAAAATGCTATGAAGCAGAAGCATTAACATTACTGAATTAATTAAACACTTGGAACTAGTTTATAAAGAAGAAAATATTACAGTTGAGTTGATTGTGTGCAAGACAAAATTGAATTAAGAAGAATACATATAATTGTCTTATAGACATTTTTTGATGACAATAACAGTTATTAAGAGTAAATATGGTGAGAGCTTACCTTCGTGCTAGGTGGAGCCTCTCCTGTGTGGTGAGGTGTTCCACCTGAGCCATCTCGGCCACTAAATCCGAGTGCTCCATTTTTTACACTATCTGAAAATTAAAAACACTGTTAACTTGAAAAAATACAAAATAATTAAAAAAACATAGTCTAAAAAGTTATTGCAACTATGAAAGACTGTATTTTATTCATTTTCCTATACATTAATGTAGTTTTGTGAATTAAAATGATAACAATTAAAGAAGTTTTAAAGTATACTCTCACTAAAATAGTGGCTTGAAAATTAGGTAAGTATTTAATTACTGAGATAAGTAAACAAACACTAAAAATAAAATGCATTGACATGCTGAATTTATTTTTACACACACTATGCATCAATAATTATTGATTCACTTTTTTAGTTACTAAGTAGCTAACTAAACTTATTTGTAAAATACCTACCAAAAGATATATAACAATATATTAAAACACATAGTTGTCACAAAATACTTATTAATTACAATTTAAATCTTATATCTGCACGACACAAAGAATTTATCCTCTGTTTATCATATTTATCACTTTGTTAATTAACTAACATTGATTGTTTTTTAAGTCTTTTAGCACTTGTTTTTGTTGTTTTGTTTGTAAATAAAACATTAATAGACCTCAACCACTGTCCCTTCAGAAAATCTATTACAAATTCTAACAAGTGTATCTCAGAATTCGTATATGTTTTTCGAATAAGAATAGCTATGTACCTAGCGTCAAACTTATTGATATCTGACTTAAGTCTGATAAGATAAATGCCCTACACGCATTTCAAACCAATATATTGAGAAATAGAAAATCTTCGCCTGGATACCTACTGAATATTGAGACAGTTTTTATTATACTATCAATTCAATCTAATTTTATAATCTCTCTTTCGACTCCTTCAAATAATTCAGTTTTAAAAACAAACTGACAGTTTAGAAAGGCACTTGGTTTCTACAACCTAAATCAACTTTGCAGGTCAACATAATATTATAACAACTTTTGCGGGAGAAACAATACATTAAACATATTTATTCTAAAATATTTTTCACGCTACTTACCGCTGTTCTAGTTTACTACAAAACGTAAGTATGTTTCATTCTTTTATTGATGTATTTGCCACACATGATAAACAGATTGAAGTAAAGGGAGTTATTAACACATATACATATTAACACTTGGAACTAATTGAAATCCATTTCGTTAGAGAATTTTACTGTTACATTCTATTTTCCGTTAGTTTTCATGAAATTAAGAAACAAGGAGAAAAATCACAAGACGGACAGCGAACGAGCGGATAAGTTGTTTTTTTTTTGGTGACTTGAAAACCTTGACTCGGATACTTGGCTTTTAATAAAATGGTAATGCAAAACGAAAATAATGTGCGAATATTACAATGCAACACAAAAATATTAAAATAACACAGACGTTTTTACTTGTGTTTAATAAAGTTTTTCTTTATAATAATATTCGTGACTGTTTTTCTTAATGACTTAAAAGGTCAAGTTTCAAATACAAAATCTAATGTCATTGAGTTAACGAGGCGACGCGCGGGAAATTTAATGCAAAAAATTATTATACTGTACCTATATTTAAATTCTTTTTGTGTTTTCCGGAGTGTTTTATTTTAGTAATATACGGCTGTTAACTTTCTAAAAATAAAACTGCTATTGTGTGTCGCGTAAAATTTGTGACTCATGCACAACGTGGGTAAGTTCTAGACAAATAAAGGGTAGAAAGAAGTCGACAAACATGGAATAGGAACTTACAAGAGCTATGAATGAATTGCATACCATCTGGTCATCTGTCAACTCGTTCACATGTCGGTATATTATTCTGTACCTATACTCTCACATCACATCGCATTATCAGCATATAAGTGCTCACTGCTCAGCAAAGTCATTTTCTCACACGAAGAAGAATCGAGCGTTAATCTCCGAGCTTGATCAGGTCAGTGGCTTGTCGATTTGGGTCAGTGGGTCGTCTTAGGGGCGGAGTTCGGCTATAATCACTTACCATCAGGAGATAAATAGTATGATCGTTTGGTTCCTCCAATTCGATTTTCCTCATGATGTTTTCTTCTGCTATGTTATCTCAGAAAGTACATTATAACTCGAAAATCTCAATGTCTTAGCCTCTAGGCCACCATAACAGTTACATGAAAATATGATACTTACCCTATCTATGCCAAATAAAATAAAACAATAAAAAAAAAACCGCCCCTAAAATAAACAAAGATGAACAATGTGATGTTAATGTTATTCAGCCAGATGGTCTAAAAGATTGTAACACTGAAATGAATTTGGCGAAAATGAAACATAGAATAACTCTCAAATGTGATTTTTATTTCAGTTTTTATATCATCTATTGTACTGCGCTAAGTATAATACAGTTTTAACAATAATTTTAGTAAAAAACAAAACCACAATATTATCATTCAATGAGCGGTGTAGATATACTACGCTAGGCACTATTATTTTATCAATTGACACACCATAATCCCATTTATACAAAGCTTGCTTAAAGTAGAGTAACTAGACATCTTTCATTTAACAATTTATTTAATAATTAAGTAATATATAAATAAATAGGTATGCATAAGTACAGACATCAGAACATCAAGCTGGTCTTTAATAGATTTTCAGCCTGGCTAGGCGCTTTTTGGCCGTGCAGGAGAGACTATCTCTCAAAAAACTGTCCATACAAGTTCTTTAAAACTATATCAATACTCACAAAGAGTACCCCACAAAGCAGGTAAGTCAAGTTCTAGGTGGCTCTTTAGTGGATAAAAGCCTCAAGTCAGGCCCTGAGACAAGTTGATAATGTATAAATTTTTTTCAAATGTTGGTGCCTTAATGTGCCAGTGCCTGTACCCACTCGAGATACGTCATATTTTGTTAGTAGTACTTAGGTACATGTTCTTATTCTTATTACTTTTATTTAAAAGATCTTGTTTACCAAACAGGTTTACCTAATGATGGTAATTATTGGCCAAGCAACCTAATGGTTCTAGTTACAGGAACAACATTAGGGAGGTATGTAGATAATATAATATGTAGCATGTAGTCATATTATTAAGTTCTGTGCTAATTTGTTACTTTTTTAAATTGGCTTAACACAAACCAGAAATCCACAAAAGGTACAAAATATATGGGGACACAAAAACTCTATGACACATTGAATCAAGTGTCCTAATTTAAAGGCAATTTTAAAATTTTGAATACTTATGTGCAATTATGAATATTGTACAAAAACCTTAAATCCAAATAGGAAGGTAGGACATACTTAGTTTTGGCCAGAATAAAATTGATATTGTTAAGTAGGTACTTAATAATTTTAACAAATTATTGTTACAAAAAATTTCTTAAATCATAATAAATATTATTATAGATTAATAATTTACCTACCTAACACAATATAGCATGTTTAATTTAATATCATTTTTTTTTCTAAATTAACTGCTATTGATTGATGGACGCACTACTTAGTTGGTGGTATGAAATACACTTTTTTTTCACTTGTTTAAATAACTAATGTAGAAAATTACCGTAATGTAAGATACTATAATTAAAAAAATATTTTGTTATGGGTATAATAAAAACCCAGCAAGCTCCTGGAATTACCAATTTTCTATGCACTGAAATAATACGAAATAGGCACGTAATGAGTTTATTTGTACGAGAAGATATATAGCTACTTTTTACAATGTCAATATAATTGTTACACAACGTTAGGTAGTTCTGAGATATAAAGTCCATGTAAGGGCAAGGTCCTGTTAGTGCTAATGCACATAAATCTTTTGTTGAAATTCATACACTATCATTAGGTCAGTGAATGCTGGCCCAGTTATTTTACTTACAAAATAGAGGGTTCTGAAATAAGGGTAGTTGGCAAATTGAATATAACTGTCAGTTTTGTGTTTTTTTTCTTCATTTGAACATTGAATTTACCTTCAACAAAATACATACTTATGATTTATGGAGTACATAAGCCATTTTTTTATATTTAATTTTTGATTATCATCCCATTATCTTGTTTTTTGATAAAATATTTAACAAACATTATTTTATTATTTACATTCGTTATTATGATACACTTTCTATATTACTACAACTATTATTGTTCTAAATTAGTCTATTCTTCATAAACAAAGTTATATTAGTAGGTAGGTACACACCTACCTACCTACCTCTAATAATCTAATAACAATGTCAACATTTTTGCGTAGATGGTATAGGTAATGTTTTTTATAAAGGTAACACTAAAATGACGTCGTATTGCCAATGACATCATTAAATACAAAGAAGGTTGTTGAATGCGGAGATAAATCATACAGCCGAAATTAAAAACCGATCTTATTCCCAAAGTTAGTGGTATGAAGTTCCTGTCAAAAATGGAAATCGATCTAGAAATTTTATAAATATTAAAATCCTATTACTTACACCCGGTTTCCGAAAGCCCGATCAATGTTAAAATCAATATAATCTCTTGTCAAATCATCTGATTGGTTGACTGAATTATGAACAACCAATCAGAGTACTTGACAAGAGATTTGACACCTAGTTAGTTGATTTTAACATTGATCGGGCTTTCGGAAACCGGCCCTTAATCATATCTAAATATCAACCATTAGTACTTCCTTGATATTTTACAATCGGTCCACAAATTTTAAAATCAAGTTAATCAATTTAAGTTTTCCGTACTCTACCCTGTTCTTGTTTCCAACATGACATAGCCATAAACTAATATCATCGAAAGATGTACATGAATGATTTAGAAGTAGATAATTGAAAACTTGTCTAGAAACTTTCTTCTTTTCTTTCTTTTCTTCCCTACTTATATTAAAAGCTGGTTGATGGATTTGGGATGGCAACGTCAATTTTTTTTTTGAAGGCTTGTGACGATTCTATTATCAAACTATCTACATTGGTATATGACCGGAACAAACTTACATGGAATATTATTTATTTAACTATCTAAGTTTTCCAGGAGATCTACAGTATTATTACGTAGGGATAGAAAAATAACAGGTGATTTTTATATTTCATGGTAGTTCTCTACAGCTAATTCAAAATGGCCTCCAAAACGCATAAGTTATAATATCTATTACATAACAAACACAATTGTCTACATCTACAAATCACATTTCAATTAAACTTACTTTCATGACTCTCATTAACTACTGGTAGGTATTGTCATTGGCAACAAGTGCCATGAAATAATTAATATCGTTTCATAAATATAATAATTAGGTTTAGTAAAACGATTTACTTACACACAGTTTTGAATGTAGTTACATGATATTTTACAAAGAGCATACAAAAATACACTTCAAACAACTTTATAAATTGGTTTTACTCATTCAAATAGTTAAAGCAATGTTATAATTCTTGATTAACCGCTACATTCCTATTAGTCGTAGGTTTTAAAGGAGCTTTTTAATTGATGCTATCTTAATTAGACACAAACAAAATTGGGAAAGACTGATTGTAGATAGGAAAAGTTGTTTTTTTTAAACACTTACGCCTACCAGTCGTCGCAAGATGCATTTCATCGCAACGTGTCGTATTTACACCTTAAATTGTAGGTATGTATAATTACAGCTACCAAAATAACTCGAAAGCCTCAGACAAATCTGGCAAGCATCTTTACGTTTTATAAAGATTTGTTACCTTAACTATCCGCACGATTTTAATCTCGCTTTATGTGTGCGTATCATGATTATTGACAATGTGACGCGTCATAATTAAGTGTCTTATCATTACAAGTAGCTGGTAGATGGTAAAACGGTAACAATAGTCAAAACCTCAATACTATGTTTATCTATCACATTGAACCAATTTGATGAAAGCCTTTAGCCTGTCTTCGGCAAAGTCATCGAATAAGTGTATTTCGCATAATATAATAATAGATTTCAGAATAAATTTCGTTACAAGTGATTAATTAACACTCTTTAATTCTATATTCATTTTACTTATTTTATACACCACAGATTCACAGCACTTTTTAAGAAGTTTGTGTGTTTTTAGACATTTATATATCACTTTCCGCTTTAGAACGTTACTCTAGCGTCCTGTACTTCAACAGTGGCAACCTATCAGGGTCACCACGGCGGGGCACTCAGGTGTTCTCGTCTGAGGAATCGTCTGACGACGAGCTGGTGTTCAGCGTGGAAGCCATTGTTAGCTGCCGGATAAATGGCTCTCTCGGTAGACTCTGCTGTCCTAGTGGTAGTCGTCTCACGCCCATCCGCTCACTCTCTGGTAGTGATTTGCTGCATTTCTCTTCTGTGATAGCATCGCGTGACAGTGAACTGAAATAGAAAACAAAAAAAGATATTAATTTTGTTTTTTGTTGGGCTTAATGTGTCTTTTACCTTTGAAATTTTGGCCTGCTTTTGGTAATTATTTAACTAATGGAATTTTATCTACTGTTATATTCATTATCAAAAATATATTTGAAGGACTTTGCATTTAGTGTACAGAGTAATTGAATATCGATTGAGACTTTTCGCTGAGAAATAATCTTGCCATAATAATCACATCAGACATACCCAGTTAACTCTAACATTGATCCTCTTCTACACTGTCCTCTGTGTGGTCCCTGCATGATGCTGGCTGGTCTACTTGATGCGCCGAGGGGATCTGAATGCGCTACGTCCTCCATCAGCAATACTGACGGACCTCCCAGGCTTGTGCTCCTCTTAGACAACAAACTCGGTCCTTGTCTTGCTGCTGTATCTTTTGATGTCCCCTCTCCCTTATTCCAACTGTCTCTATTCGCTTCTGAGTCTGATAGAACCACACTCTCCGCTGCACCTTGTGTAGAACTAGAGCTCTCTCTTCGGAAGAGACCTATGATAGATTTGGGATGTTTTGGCTTCTCTATGCCTCCTAATACCGGGAAGGTTATGAGAATGGATGTGTTTTACAGCGGAAAGGATCAGGGAAAAAGAAAAATAGAAGTGTCAGAAAAAGTTTATACAATTTCTAAATTCTAAGGTATATAGTGCTAATTTTGGTTATGTAATTATTTAATTTGTTAGAGAGTCTTTTAAATTACATTTCGGACGAAGCAATATTTGGTGCTGATTTTTTTTAATTTGCTATTTTAAACACTAACTTATTTAGTACTACACTAACAGAACAAATTGGGTTTTGGAAAGTTAATTTCTAATTACAATGGAAGGGCTCAATTACCTGTGGATAATATTAGTGCTAATAAAAATATATTGGCATAAGCAAACATGCGCGGTGATATACAAATCTTTGAAACTTGTGGTTGAATCTAAAGTTCTTGAAACGAAACTATGAAAAAAGTTCGCGACACATGTAAATACTAAGGCGTGTTTGTGCATATCATGAAGGAACTGTGTAAATATGTATTTTAATGAAAATGGAAGGTATAATTAGGCACATTTTCAGAAAATAAGTACTAGTAATGTGAGCTCCGCAGTTGTAAATAACTTACATTCGATCACACTATTCTATTGGTGATAAGAACCACTGAGAAATTGTAGTTCGAAATCAAGACTAAAGCTAAAGTTAATTATTACAATTAAAATTATATTTAGTGACGTTCAGTGTACTTATTTTGAATATTTATACATACTTAAACTTCTAGGGTGTGGTGAAAGTTCACGCGCTAGATACGTAGACAATATTATTGCCGCTACGTGCTACGCCGCTACGAAACGGACTACGAAAATGTTTCCTGCATTTGACTTTTACAAAGCATTCTACACTCTGGCTTGTATGAAGGTATTTTCAAATATTTATTATACTTTTTGAAATCCAATTTAACGTCCAAATACTTTCAATACAAATTATTAACTCACCTAAGAACGTAGCCGAAGGGGAGCTATATGCTAAGTACTCTTTGTTCGACGCCCATGCAGGGAACTCCGATTGTTTTAGGGCACCACAGCCAGACCCCTCCATTTCCTCCCGTTTCCATGGCAGCATGGTCTCTGTTGCCGTTGGGGTGGCTACGCGAGCGTGCTCAGCTACTATCATGTAGGCGTCTGTCATTATAAAGCACAACAATAGTGAGATCACAGAGTGAGATATTTTATCTCAAAATGCTGCTAAAATATCAGCTCTATTTTTTAATTTTTTTGCAATCCCAGTGGGCTTATAGGTTGCTATGTCTTACCATTTTCGTCAGACAATCTTCTTTCGTCCTCTTCTAAAATATCCTCATTAGGAACTAAAAATATAAAATAACTATGCTTTAAAATATATTTCAGTTGATTAAAATAAGTTTCTTATTATGCGTTTTTGTGTGTAAAATGAAAAAGTTGATCAAAACTATTAGTTGCAAATCTAATACTATAAAAATATTTGAGAAATACACAAGCAACTCTTATATAGATAATTAATTATTCGTACATACAACATGATAATTAAAATATTACAATCATTCTGTTTACAACATATTCAACAAAACCTCGATTCTTAAGCCTGAAATGCTATAGTTACTTACTTGTATAGTTCACAGTGCATATAGATAGATACATATCATAATCATGCAATAACTACTACTGTTTTAAACAAAATACATAGATACACCGATTACATAACAAGAGCAAAGTTGGACTACGATAGCAACCAACATAATAATAAAATATAACAACAGGAGATTGTGGCACCCAGACCCATTTTGTTTACTGCATAAACGTTCTATATTATTTTATTGGTTACTATGCACTTTGAGCGTTAGTACGGAATAAAAAAGGAATTAATAATAGTATGTGTTTATGGCATGCAATAGTAACATTGAATCGGATGACCAATATCTTTGCGAAGCGTCTGATGAAAAAAATATGTTCGTAGTTAAATAACTAGGTTAGGTATATATATAAGCAAATTATGTTTAACGTTAAAACAAATACAAATCATAAGTGGCTGAAAAAGGTTACTAAAAATCTGAATAACTAAATACTAATACATGTTAGTGCCCAGTACTACCCAATGTCGTACGTAATTGACGCTAAATGTCTCTACAAAGTCGTTAACAGCCTTCGCCTACCTTGAGCGTGTTTTATACTTAATCATGGTTGCAGTAATCGTAGCACAGACACATTAAAGCATAATCTAAATCAAAATCTTGATCATCAGACGCAAGTATGCACGCAGTTATCTAGTGACAATTAGTAAAACAGTTCAGTTTTGAAGTAAACACATACCAAAGTTATACGTGGATCTGTCCCTTCTCCACGGTAAGGATTTCTCAACAGCTGTCGGGAGGATCTCTTCGGGTGTTTTAGCGTACTGCTTAACGATCCTCGCTTTCAAGGGATTGAATCCGGGCAGGTTAGCCAGTTGATTTAAAAGTGAACTACTATTTTCTTTATGCGAGGACGTCGGACTGACTTCTTTGTATCCAGCTGATAATATTATCATCGCCAGTTGTCGAGAGTATCGGTTAGTTTGCGGTGCCACATGAAGATTGCCAGAAGGGAAGAAAACGGCGATCAAACACAAACGATATTAAATAAGCAGAGATGAACAGATAGGTAGTTACGTAGGTAGCGATTAGAAGATTAGTAGGAATTCCTATACGATTACGAAATGGTATTTCGGGCTCAGGACAGAAGTGGAAAAAGTAAACTTTCCTTTGCCCAACTGTATTCGCTAACCATTAGATATATGTATTTAACATGAGCAGAATCAGAAATCTAGCCTTTTTCTTTTATTTAACTGCTTGTTTCATTTACTCATTGGCGCATAAGAAGCCAAAATAAATCGTCATTTAGAGTATTAATTACTTTAATAATAATTAATACTCTAAATGACGTTTCGTCCGCATTTACTTTAGTATAGAAAATTATATTCAAACTGCTTGTAATTAAAATGTTAGGTTTGCGAATAAGTTGGTTGTCAAAAGTCAAATCTTCACTTGAAATAGGCAACAGAATCAAAACAACTCAATGAAAGTAACTTTGTGAAGAGATAATTCGGAAAATATACGAACAGAGTACATATAGAGAAATTATTAAGAACATGCCACCACAAATACGTTTCAGCACATTCTCACAGTACGTAGCCATGTCAGAAAATTAAGGAATGCTTTTGGACCCAGCAAATAATATTCGTATACCAATTCAGTAAACACCAGTTCACTTAATATAAGTATTCCATTTTGGTTAATCAAGAAAAGGTAGGTAGTGCGGAAAATAAAAACAACGTTAGTTGACAACATCTATAGAGTCGTTTGGATTTGAATACAAAGCTTTCTTGGATGGAATACATTTACTGTTCATACTGGATTGGATTCACCACCTATAATGATATTTGGTTTTCTTAAACAGGCTCTGATTACACAAACTATTTTAGTATTTAACTTCATAACAAGCCTATTGAATTTTGATCAATTTTGAAAGATTAATACATTTTTTTATGGTAATTAAACTGTTTTATCACTTAGTTACAAGTTTAGTGAGTGTTCTTAAGTCCGGCTATTTCTTTGCTGTACTGAGTGCCTACATAATGCAATTACCTATATTATACGAGTACGTCTAGCTAATACACTACATTTACTTCATGTTGTTGCTCTATCTACACAGTGCTTCTGATCCAGTAGACAGTACGGTTAATATTAGCATTAGCATTGTTACCATTCAAATCCAAACTGCGGTGGTTTACACAGGGTGTGTCATGCAGAATACCTACGCGGGGATTTGGCAGTGAATGTAATACCGCCGTCGTCACCTTCGCGACGTTGTCCCACCTCGCGCTCGTCTCCCTCTTCTTGAAGTACCTCATCTATGTAGTCTGTAATTAGGGCCCACATCGTTAGTATATTTCTTATTACAACTCTTTAAAAAACAAGCCAACTAAAAATATTTATGAGTTGCTTTTTAAACGTTGCTATTAAATTCGATAGCCTCTATTTTTTATGTAGAAAGTTTAGGGTTTTTTGCAATTAAACAATGTATGATAATAATCACATTTTAAGGACAACACAAAACCAAAAAATAAACATGTGCTATGTAGGTACTAATGCTCTAGACTTTTAACAAATTTGCGTTTTTATGTCGCTTTAATATTAACTAGTGTAAGACGAAGCGTTTGTGCTTGCAAAGAAAACGTAATAATGACTGATACATATATGTATGTATGTATTTGGAAATAAACAAAAGAAATAAAATAATACTTGAACCCACACGTGCATGCGATCGACACTCGTGATAATAATAAAGAATAAATAAGTACCTAATCTATAATACTTTATTTTACCGTGCGTGAACTGTTTAGCCGAACCATTTTGCTGGAATTCAGGGAAAGTCACATGATTTTTTCCATCCTGAAACAGATAAAGTAATCTTTTTTGATACGTCTTTAACACACATTATAATTTGATTTTCTTTTTTTAATATGTTGGTATATCACGTTTGATTTTTAGTCAGTATTAAGATCTGTCAGTAATTTACCTGCTTTCCGCGTTTACTACGTTTGTGATGATGTTTCCTATCACCAACCCGTCGACGTATGTTCATATGGGTCTTGTAATTGACTTGCGTGCCGAGGTCGCGATCGTTTACCGCATGACGACTGTAGCTCAGGCGACGGTGCTACAGGAAAAAAAGGGATATCATCATTTGGAAAGTCCTTTTTGTTTTCTACTTGTGTTGGGTACGTTGTTTCCAAAAGAAAACTACCCCTGATTTGGCTTCGCTTTATAAAATCATTGCTTTCCAAATATTTTTAGCAGATGCGATGACTAGATTTTTGTACAAGACTATTTGTTATAACTTCTACATCTTACGTAAAATCTTTGGTAATAATAAGTACCTATTAAATATTAAACAACGTCACATTGTAAACGTAACCTACTAACTACAGCTAGTAACTCCATAATTTTATAAACAAGCCTGCACTATTTACACTCTGACCCAGAAAAATCTCGTAGAGCTTCCCCATGGATAAATACTATGACATTTTCTCTGTATGTCAGGTCCCAACCGACCACCACGCACGACCCATATAATAAATTGTGTAATAATAGCCTGTCATGTAATAAACGTACGCGTCTAAATGGCTTGCAAAGTTCTTCAGCTAAAAGGTGATGTATCTTAGCGTCAGTCAAATCTTTTTTCGACGGATTGTATTCCAATTCCTGCATGTCTATGTTCCATGTTGACGAATCCAATTGGCTGAAACTCGGACTGAAAATAATTAAATAGTTTTCAATTAGCTGCCAAAAAATGTACCTATACACATAGAAAATCTGAAAATAATACCTTCCATTAAAGTTGGCATTTGTATAGTTTTTGAATATAGCTGACATTGATTCGGCTCCAGATATGTTCCCTATTGTCGATGCATTTCTTTGCATGTATTCTATGGCATCTTTCATAGCTAACTTTGAGTAAGTTTCTAAAATCTTTGGCTCTGCACCCTGTAATTCAACGTTATAAGTCGTAAGGTTCCCTCGGAATTAAGTCAAGTAGATAAAAAATACAAAATAAAAAACCAATTAGGTTACGTACCTGATAATTTCTAAGTAAAAACGGCCTTATGAAACGATTATCAAATCTTTTGAACTTGTCCCTCATATGGTGGTTTCCATGTTTTCCAAGGATGTCTTCAATGCCGGCCATTAGATGATCCATAAACTAAAAATGTATAAGAGTAATGTTTTCTCTTAGCTACTTAAAATTCAGCAAATCTATTTTATTTTTGTTACGAGTTGTCTCACACAGCTTTAATTTGAAAAACGCCAGTAAAAGAAATAAATATATTTTTACCCGTTCATGAATTCGTTCGTTCATTGTAGGCTTTCTCTTCTCAGCAGTTTTGACATTGAGTATTTTAACCAGAGGTTTAATAGTAATGCCTTGTATGAACACAGTGAAATATATCACTGCTATAGTTGTAGTCACAAACATCGGTTGTAGTTCTACAACCTCAGGATCTATAAGTAAAACTAAAGCGAAAGCCACTGCACCGCGAAGACCTGCAAACGTGAAATAAAACCCTCAGATAGTTCTCACATTTTATTGTAATGATATTTTCAAACGTGTTAGGAATTAATATTTTCTCCTTTGAAACGTCTTATTACTTTCTTTATACAGATAATATCCTTCAAATTCTCGCCTAGATACGTACGAACCAACATTTAAATTAGAAAAATCAATATTTGTAAATTATTTTCAGCAATTTCACTATCAAAATATTCCATAGAGCCAGCAAATCTGAAGATGGCTGCCCTTTACGAAGCGTGGGTGCTAAGAGTTCAATATTCTTAAGGGTTACTAGCGGCTAGACTGAATAGATACATCTAAGTAAACCGTCTCAAACCTCAAGTAACTCGGCTTGCACACTCAGCTATTCCTATTGGGACTAAAACCATATGGCACATGCCATATGGTTTACCTTTTTACCTTTAAAAGTATTTATATTTAGAAAGTATTTTTAATTATAACTCACCTCCATAAGACATTACAAACTTTTCCACTCTATTCAATTTATGCAAACGGAACTTGTTAGCTATGGCACTAAATATGTACACTCCTGAAAAATAAATAATTATTATCGATAAACACAACATTGTAGCTAAACGACGATACTAAAGGAGCTTTAAAAAAACGACCTAAATCTTATAATCTCTGTTCGTAGCAATTGACTGTTTGGGGCTGGCACGTGGCAGATGAAGCCTTAAAGTTTGACTGGCATTTTCCGGTCACAAGTTCACACGTGACCACATTGTTCTGCTTCCCATTGTTCTGTTTCTGTTTATACCTACTTTTCTCTCTCTTTGTTTTTAAGGTCACGGCCGTAGAAAAGCGTATTATATTTTCTTTACACAAGTAGTGAATATAAGAAAATGACAGAAAACTAGTTTTCAAAAACAAACTTACCTATTATTCGAAATATTGAGCAGAATACGATCGTTAATAAAACAAACCACGTGTTCCAGTCGTGGTTATTATTTACAGTGGCTACACCTAGAAACATGAAAATGATAGTTTCGGAAGACGAAGACAGCATCTTCATAGTGTATTTAATAGTAGTATGCGATTTATGAGATATATTTGCTTCGACATAGTTCTTCATTGTTATTCCACAAAATGTTATGCTGAAAACATAAGACAATTATATTAGATAAATATAACATTACGTTGTATATTACATAACTATACAACTGTGCTCATGTATTTAGAATAAGTATAAAATATAATTAAGTACCTAATTAAATAACTGAAAAGCATATTTAAGAGGACTCTACAAGTAAATAATTAATAATGTTTAACGGCTACCGTAACTCATGAAACTAATTGTTGAGATAACTCGACTAGATTCAAGCCGCTAGGGGCTCATAATATGTATATTTACGTATGACAATTTTCGATTCTCTGGCTATCGGCTGTGTGAACTCGGCTGAATGCGCAACGTCCATTGTGTGAGCCCATAGCGTAGATGGAAATTTGTCGAGTCATCAACCTTAAAATTTACCTAAGTAATCCGTTAAACATAATTATTTTAATATGAGTCACGAAAGTTGTAAGTAAATTATTGTCACTTACGCAAGTATTCCGCTCATATGGAACATCTCAGCGTTTAGATACGCCAAGTAAGCCATGACAAAGATAAATATTGGCTCGATTACTCTGACTTCGTGTGTAAAACGTGTGACAAGGCCTGTGGCGAAACCCCAAACTACCCCGATGCACGTCCCTCCAACAGCCACTACCAGAAATGAAGCGAGACCGGCTAGGAAATCCGTGTATTCAAGACGTGATGGTCCCATTTCTCTGGTGGATGTAAATGCAAATGCAAATATTTATATTAAACATAAAATTAAATGCAGTGAGGCTATTTCAACGTCAGGTAAATTATTGGCTACTTACGTATAAGCCTCAAACATATGATACAAAACAACTGTGACAGCATCATTTAGTAACGATTCGCCAAATACTACTATGTAAAGTACTTCGTCTACATGGATTTCTTCAAAAACAGCTAGCACTGCTACAGGGTCCACTGCAGATATTAGTGCAGCAAATAAGAGCATGTCTAGAAGAGGAGTTGTGCAGCCAAACATTCCGGTCTGACCACAAGCCCAAAGGGACGCCCCTGTTGACAATACAACAGCTAAATTAGAGTTTATTCTTGGTAGCACATCAATATAAAATATTACTTTAATAACTATAACGGTTGGCGAATCTTTTCACCTATGATTTGGCAACTTACCTATAGTGAGGGTGTTGAACACAGTCCCGACTACCGCAAATAAGAGAATTGTTCCAAGATGATCAAAAAACAATCTATTTGGCATAAAATAGCCGGCGTCTAGGATGATAGGAGGCAGCATATATAAGAAGAAGGTGTCCGGCGTCAATGGCTGTACATGTACACTGTGCGTACTTAACAACAAAGCCCCTATGAGGACCCCCACAAATATGAGAAGACAAGACTCGGGAAACATTTTAGACAACTTCGGCGCCATGTGAAATCCTGAAACAAAACATTATTGTTTTAGTAAATTATCGTTTATTTTTAAAGACATGGTTAAAGGGTGATGTTTGTCAATTCGCTACAGAAGGCGCCATCGCGCTTCAAACTAAAGCAACTAAAACCATTCTCAACTAGAATAGTATGAAATTTCTACGATTAGTCAATTTTGGCACGTGGCATGTCGTGACGTATTTACGAGTATCAATTTTAATTTCATTATGCCGTCTTGTGTTATTACTACGAGTAAAAATGCGACTGGAATTACGAAAAAAGTGGATAAGATTACATTTCATCTGCAAGCATCGACTGCAATAGTATATTTAATTAATTATTGATTTATTTTTCTATGAAAATGATGCGGCCATTTTGTGAGTGTTGTCATTTCTGGTGAAAATTTTACCCACTTATTTATTTGTTGTGGGTTATATTTTTGTCCATTATGGAGCCTATGTCATATTAGTTTCTCTAACAAAAAAATAAATACAAATCATACAAAGGGCACGGTTAGATTAATTTTGGAAACCATCTAGCCAGAGTATAGTTTGCTCAATTCACTTTGAAGAGATATATTTATGACAAAGGTGGTTTGAAAACAGCATATCCTACTAAGATATATCTATACTAATGATAATGCTAAAGAGTTTGTTTGTTTGTTTGCTAGAATGCGCTATTCTCAGGAACTAAGTAAAGTAAGTAGACTTCTAATCTTTAGTTCCGAGTCTAAAGACATATTAAAAAAAACTAAATCAGCAAAAGGGAACGCAATAAAACCTTTGTACCTATTGAAGCTTTATTTTATTTGTTGTGTAACTAAAATTAACACAGCCATAAATCGTCAACTTTTATGATACCTCTATGAAATGTGTGAACAACTAGTCTGTTGCATTTGTCGTAAGTTTACCTATTTTGTTGGGTTTACTCGTATCTTACCCTCCTGTTGTAAAATTACCCCAAACCAAGGGAACTGTTCCACTGTCGGCAACATTACGCGGGTGGGAAGTGCGGCTGGCGGGGAGATTGACGTATTGATTTTGGACACATTTGACGACATGTAATTATGAGTGAACGCGGATTCTATTGATATGGAAAAGTAAATTCGTATAGTATCGCTTTCCTTAAACTGGAACCAGTCAATCTTGGTGGCCCATGGTTTAATGGCCTAATTTATAATGCCTGAAGGTGTTGGTTCAAAGCCTGGCAAGTATCTATGTGAATTATATGTACTTTTTGAAATTATTTGCCATCGACTGATTACTCGACAAAATATGGTGATAAAATAAAGACTCTTCATTTCTAATTATAAGATAAAGATCGCCAATCTTTCTTGATAAAGTGATTTTGCTCAAACCTGATGATGACTTAATTGCCAATCCAATTGGGGAAATTGGACTCTTTTTAAGAGATATACTTCAAATAAGTACACGCAATTCTCCAGATTTGTTGAGAAGAAGAAGGTTGCATATCAATATTCTCGATCTTATCAAAATGATGCCACATTATGATCAATTTGGGTTATATTTCTATTTTCAACTAGTCACACAATTTCAATTCTCCATACACTGGTTACAGAATTATAACAGAAAAAAGGCCCTCATCAAAAAAAAAATTCGGATGCAAACTCAAAGTTCCTCTGCCCCGGACCGGCGCAGGAGCTCTTCTGCAGTTCTGGTAAGTATACCGGGTAATAAAGCTTTATTTTGCGGTAAAACATTAAAAAACTAAAAACAATAATTTAAGTAGAAATCCTTTTTGGTTGCCATTAAAATGTCAAAAACAAAGTGACATTATAAATTAAAAATGATAGAAACATGTAAAAATGTAATTATTTCAGTGATGGAAAATAAAACGTAGAATTAAAAATATTTCATTACTACATTTGGGTTGTAAAATATACAAGTAAATTAATGAAATCGGAATATGTCACCTGATTCGAAGGCAAACCATCTACTTCAAACAAAATCTTATCCTAGTGTTTACGATATATTTGGTGATACGTCGTATAATAATTTGATGCACAATTTAGGTATCACCAAACCGGGAGATAGTTCAGAGCTTCACGCTACAGGCGGGGCCGCCCAACAATTACCGGATTGTGATTATCTTAAGTCAAAAAGTACAAATTACGTTACTAGTGAACAATACAACACACTTATTCAAGAAGACCCGTGCAAAAATATGGCACCCTCTACAAGTACAATTTTTTATGATTTGGATGATATCGCCAAAAGGCACTCATTTCATTGTCTTACTGAACTCAATATGTCAAGTGCTAAATTAATGAAAATGGCACGATTGTCTCCATCTCCTATCGTTTTAGGGGAATCTGAATCTATTGGCCAACAATGTGCAACTCAAATACATATATTGCCACGTGATAGTAAAGAGTTAAGTCGCAAGAAAGTAAAGAAAAAGTTATCACCCCATTCGCCCGTAATGGACTTCAGAGATGACGAAAAAATACATGATTTTAACAAAAATTATCACAACAACAATTTGTATGAGAGACATCAAAAATTTTGGTCTTTTGCAAAATATCGTACAGAATACACGAAACCCAAACAAGAAAACTATTCGGCGAGAAAGAAGGGCAAAGGACGATATGCGGAGGCTCCATGTCCGTGTCAATTGTTTTCATATACCTGTCCTTGTACTGTTAACAAATCTACTTCTCAACTAGTAAATGCCAACAAATCTTTAATAAATTTGGTGGACCAGATTACAAGTACCAGTAAAATTGTTGAAGAAGAAAAAATTAGCAAGGCAAGAACGCTTAAAAGGGAACTTGTTAGAGAAGATAAACCTACAAATACTAGTATAGCACAAATGATTGAAGTAGATATTCCGAATGAAAATAAAGGCTCAACAATAAATGTTGCATACAACAATGAAACACCTAATTCAAGTGACAAGAGCAATGATGACAAACGTTTCCAAAATAAAACAAGGTCTCGAAAAATGACTCGAAAGGTGTTATGCCCAAACTGCAAAGAAAAAGTTGATGTAGTAATCAGTATAAGTACAACAGAAGTGTCAGGTCTAAAACATGAACATTCTTCAATATATCGCTGTAAAGAAATACCATCAACCACAGCATATGCTTGCAGAGTTCGTTCAAAAATCAAGAACATAAGTAACAGTGATTTATGTCTACATGAACCCCCTTGTGAACTAGTGCCAGTGTGTCAAATACTACCAACCGATAATAATTTTTATAATGACAATCATAAATGTGCTACAAAACATTCTGTTCCTAAATCGACACCTCGTATCATTAGAATAACGAAAGCTTGCAGGCATCATCCACCTTGTACTGTGGTTCCATCCTGTCAAAGAGCGAATGTGCTAAAAAATAATTGCGAATATATTCCCCCTTGTTTGCATCGGCCTCGTTGTGTAAATCTGCCTTTATGCGTACCTTTTTCAAAAAGTTTACACTACGAAGAAGCTACAAATAAAGTGGGAAACGATATAAATGGATCAGATTATCCACATACTTCTAAATACAAGTATATTCCAGTTTGTGAACACGATTCAATTACAAATACTATGAATCATCAAATTAACATCGTCTCGAGAGTACCAAATGGGTGCGAGTTTTTGAATGACTACAATCCTTTTTTGTTAAATGCAAATTCACCTTGTGTAACCAAAACATTTTCGCCTTGTCTGACTGATCATTACACCTGTATATCTAATAAGTCTTGCCAATTTGAACCTTCGCATAGCAAGTTCTCCCATGAAGTTCAAGAAAATCGAAGTAATGAGTCCGTTATATTTATAAGAGACGTTGGTTGCCAGTTCAGAAACAAAGGTTATTCTCCCAAAGATTCTGCAGTGCATTCAGTTCATTCGAAGGGTTTAAGTAAATCATTTGATTTTCTGGATGTTAAAATGGGGAATTATAATACAAACATTCATACACCGAGATATGAGGATAAGAATACAAGTCCTATATCTGGAGAGGATTACTCCTTCACAACTATCTCTAGTTCTTTAGACCTTGAATCTGAATGCCCATCGCACGGCCGGCGCCACTTGGTACCTAACCATCAGCGTACAATAGGGTTTGTACCGAAATCGGCTTATGTCACAGCATTTGCATCTGTCCCAGAAAGCCAATCATCTAAGTATGAAGGCAACAATAAGTTGGACGCATATCCAGTCAAATCGCGGAGAAGTTTTCTTAAAGGCAAATATAGAAAGATGTTTTCTGTAAAACGGAGGAGGAAATCTAGAACCATACCTGCTGTGGTTCAAAATGGTTAGTGTTTAAATTTATTGTTTCGTGTATTTATTTGTTTGTACCAAATATTGAGAATAAAGTATTTATTATTGATTATTCACTAATAACTTTACATGTCTCTTGTCTCCTTGCTTTGCCTTTGATTGCGTTTAAGTTGTATCTGCGCTGAATCCCGACGAGATTCAACGAATGTAGGTCAGCCCCACGTTCTGACGAAGGAAGCTATACTGATTTTGCCTAACTTGTCAATTTGCAAACGCCGCAAGTAAGTTAACTTGCATAAAGGGTCTGATGCAGAACAATTTGTCACTTGTTCTGTGAAGTATAAAAGCAAAATATGTATTCTATGTAACTAAAATGATATGTCACTAAAATTATATGTAACCATGTGAATAATTAATAATGTGCTTAGATACTAACACCCGGTTTCTGAAAGGCTTGTCAACGTTAAAATTAACTAATCTCCTGGTAAATCTCTTGTCAAGTCATCTGATTGGTTGTTGATAATTCAGTCAACCAATCAGATGACTTGACAAGAGATTAAATTGATTTTAACATTGATCGGCTTTTCGGAAACCGGGTGTATGAACTTAAACTTACCTTTTTATACAAATACTTTTTATCGATGGAAAATTATTCAATAATTCCAATTGTCCTGTATGAGGCTAGGTAGAGGACGTGTTAGACTTTTACTGATCATGAACCACCACGTTCTTACTCTTTCTTCCTATCGAGCCGCGGTACATCACTAGGCTTTGTCCGCAGTTCAGCCCGGGACAACTAAAGACTCTGAATTGGTTACATAGGCAAAGTATTGCGCGCATTCTAATAGATAAACAGCCGTGGGGAGTGCTGGCATCAATATTTGCTGCAGGTTCACGTTTTTTGATTTACAAAATTCATGTTAGCAAATTCCAGTTTGTATACATGCTTTTGAGTAGGTACCTATTCAAAATAACCGTAACCTACACAATGAGTTTTATCATTATTAATCCCACAATATCAGCCAGCAATATTTCTCATACATCATTCTCACAGAGGTATTTGGATTCACGCATATCGGTTCCGATCATAGGTATCTACCGAATTCTGCTAATCAATACAACAGCCCTAATTAACCGAGCTAATTAATTTGTGTCGTCCATATTCCTGCGGTATTTGATATAAGTACCTATCTGCCATTGTTTTAGTAAGTCTTGCCTTAAGCCGTTTGATAAAATGAAATGTTAACCATTTTTCTTTCAGTACTACCAGAAACTAATATTTTAATCGTAAACAAACAATATACTGAATATTTGAATCCTTGTGCTCTAATACAATTAAAAGTATCTAAAATTCAATGAACTTTCTATAAATTTACAGTTTTTATAGTATAACTTACCTATTTTTGCTATGCTAGCGAAGAAAATCCATAATCCTATTAAGAAAGGCGTTTCAACCCGATGAAATTCAAAGGCTGCAATGACTAATTTCTTCACCTTTTTCTCAGGCGTTTCTGTACTTGGTAAATTAGTGGTAGTATCCTGGTGTTGGCGAAGTTGCGTACCAGGGGGTTCTCCAGGCAACGGCACCACGGGACCCATGGGCCCGAACCCCAGACCGGGATACGTGGAAATCCCATCAACTGTTATGGACGGACTTTGTTTCGTGGTGCTCTGAAAATAAAACAAAATTATCAGTTAAATGGAAAGTCATTACCGAGTACTGAGATTTAATTACCTACTATTAATTTATAATAGGATTCAAAATGTATTGATACTGAAGGAGACTTTTTCACAATTTCTGACCAGCTGCTGAATATAGAACATAAGAACCATTTATAAACTACATACTTATGTGCCAAGTTACCCTCGTCTTCTACGAAGTTCCCTATTGCAATATTATTTCTTATGCAGTTATTTACGTAAGATGGTTTTAAAAGAGAAAATTACATATAGGTATTTAACATCTAAAGTTCTAAACAGTTTCATTGAACACTATGGTTTGATAGATATATGCTAGATATGTCTTTGAATAGACCTGTCAATTCCAATGTGTTTCCACCGCCTACTACTACCTATTTATAGAACAGTAGACTGGAACCTGTTGTTTAGCAAACTTGTACCTCCACATTATATATTGGTTTCTTTCACGTAGCGTAGCAATAAAGTGCATATAGATAAGTACTGGGTATAAGATTTAAAACCCAACCTCGGAATTATAATTGAAATGTAACAAATAAAGATATTTGGGATACACTTCAGCTGTAGGTACTATCTGAGGCCAAATAACTGCTTTTGTTAAGTTCTAATTTGTGCAATCCTTGTTTTCAACAAGGCGTCGATTTCGTCCATGAAACACTGGGTTAATGTTCAAACAACCAAAGAGGCTAAAAAGAAAGTACTCGTATACCTACAACCTACAAATAAAACTATATTTTCCTTATTTAGATACCAAAAATCTCACATTCGCATTCGTTTCCCGAGGGCTTTTATTTCATTCTTTCTTATAGTTTACTCACACCTAAAGCAAAGATCGGCGTCTTTTTGTGCGTTCACTGTCCCAAAAATCGGGTGCCTTTATACAATTTCCCTGCGATCTCCAGGTAAATATAGCACGTACATAACCGGTCCTTAGACGTTTCAGCCTAAATTGAATAAGATTTCTTAAACCCCTACTTATTTTATGCTGTTATATAAAAAAATTATTACGTTAACATTAATTGATCTAGAAAAGTTAACAAAGCTCCAGTGAAACTGGAGAATTGAACACTTTTCAGGTAAGACTACTAAAGTTTCCTAGTAAAATATAGTCGTAAGTTACGTCGTTGTGGCCCGGAGGTTAAGAATCCCGCTACTCGTGCATGAAGATGCGGGTTCGAATCCTGACAAGTACCAATGTGACCTTTTCCGCATTATATGCGTGCGTTCGTGCAGCGGAATGTTGTTGAATTTAAAGATTTTAATTATGCAGATATTTAGTGTATGACGTCTTATAATTGTGTATGGTAAAAAAAAAATTGTGCACGCAACCATTGTGGAGAAATTCACCAAAAACTGATTCCGCTGGGCGAACGTTGTCCTGGCGGAACTTTTTTTAATTTATAGACTTTAGAAGAAAAGAGATGTATCCAAAAATTAGTGTGTATTTGTGTGTAATTGTGTATGTATGAATAAAACTAGTGCATGCATAAACTTCGGAGATATTCAAGTTTCCGCTACGCGAACGTTTGGCCATTAGCTAGTTTTCATATAAAGCGCTTACATAGAGAGCTGTAGATTTTTACATACGTTGTTTTGAATTTGTGTATATTTGTTTAAAAAACAGATTTAGAAAAAATCGTAGGGTTTAAAAGATAAAAATATAAACGTAAAATACGCTTATTAGGTCTTAGTTCTTAAAGTATGCACTTTAGGGTCTAGATTTTTACGTTTATACAAACCTTGTAAGTGTCTGCAACATGTTGCCAAGTATCAATGATGTTCCGTTAGTAATTAAATAGTTATAGGACAAATTTACCATGAATAGATCACTGTTTACAAAGCAGTCAAATATCACGACGTTCTAAATAAATTGCATGGTAAAATGTATGCCAATAATTAGTGTATTCATTCAACTATTCACATGCAAAATTTCATGTCATTAAATTCAGTAATTAAAGAATAACAATTATAATACTGACGAAGTATCGAAAACCTACATAACCCGACCAAGTTCGGATGGCTACAAAAAACTTCTACGCGAAGTAGCGGAAACTTGAATATCTCCGAAGTTTATGCATGCACTAGTTTTATTCATACATACACAATTACACACAAATACACACTAATTTTTGGATACATCTCTTTTCTTCTAAAGTCTATAAATTAAAAAAAGTTCCGCCAGGACAACGTTCGCCCAGCGGAATCAGTTTTTGGTGAATTTCTCCACAATGGTTGCGTGCACAATTTTTTTTTTACCATACACAATTATAAGACGTCATACACTAAATATCTGCATAATTAAAATCTTTAAATTCAACAACATTCCGCTGCACGAACGCACGCGCATTATATGTACTTTCTAAGATCCTAAGGTAAGGGAAACATCATTAGGAGACCTGGACTTTAATTTATAATTATAAGTTTTGTAATCGTCAAACCACCTTGAGCAACCGTGGTGATTAATGCCCAAACCTTCTCCGTGTAAGAAGAGGCCTTATAGATAATGTGATGTGATAATAATTGGCATGTGAAGTTGTGATACAATAAGTTTTTTTTAATTATTTCAACCCTGACTTTGACCTTTTTCAGAATCTCCATAAATCAGGTAATAATAGGTAAGGATTATGGCTATCGTGTGGACTTCAAATTCACAATAATTTCATCTAATATTATAGTGGATACTAAACTTTAGAAAGAAGTGGCTGAGGGTTCTTTCTAGACAGTCATCTTGACCTTGGCCACGGACTGGCTTTGTCTTGCAACCTCGGCCTTCGCCGAATTGGTGAGGAGTGTTCTAGTTATGGAAATGCTAACCGCTTTTGTGTGCCAACGTTTATTTTTTTAAATAAAAAAAGAGGAAATTATCGTCTTTAGGTAGGTACCTTCTCAGTTCTTTTCGTTTTAAAATCTTTACTTATTTGTGTATTTTATAATTTTACATAGTCCTGTACAGACAGTACAGATCTTTCTATGTAGGTATTTGTTAGGTTACAAATTTTACTATAGGTATAAAGTAACAATAAATTTCATTTTATGATTAATTTAAAATGGATCCGGCGTTTAAAAGAAGTAATGCCTTACTCAGGTACCTGGCTGCTGGAGAATCGTCCAACAACTTCTTTTGTGAACCGAACGAAAAAAAGTTGAAAAAAAAAAACAAAAGAAAACATTCACTGTACTTACTAGGCACACTGTTTACTTAAAGAATTACCTTAATCCATAATTTATAAACCATTCTTTATCTATTAAACGAACATCGTGGGCTCATTTCATTATTCATAACCACGTTTAGAATGAGACCTTAGTACTATCTACCTAATTGGACTAATTAGGTTTCCTAATTTCAAGTCCTGATTTAGGTCATGATGTTAAGCAGGACATTAGATGAGGTCTTGTCGTTTCGGTTTTTAGAATTAGAGTTGCTATTTCTCGTTACATAAGTTGTACCGCTTTTATGTAAAGTAACTAATGTATCTTTATGTTCAGTAATACCTAATACGATTTGTGACATAAAAATAATTCTAGAAGCTGTTTTATTTTCTTTTTTTCTATAGTTACCTAAATCACATAGACCTGTATTATTGATATAAAAAAAACAAAAATTTATTAGTTGTTAATTGGAATTAAAAAAAACCGTTACCAAAAAATAACCACTGAAAAATTAAAACATTAATTGAAAATTAAAGACGGACAAAAAACACAAAAAAGTACAACAAAGTTCTCCGTAGCAACAAAGATATTAATAAGTTAATGTAGTCATCAATAGCAAAAAAAAAATCGTCTGTGCTATATATAGATGGAAATAAAACTTCACAGTCAGATAAGATATTCGGAATAATAACCTTGAAGACGCTTGATTACCTACTCAGAAACTAGTTTTAATATGAATAATTTATTAGAATTTATACAAAACTAACACAAGAAATGGATTGGAAATTCAAAATGTTGGTCGCCCGAACAGGGACTTGAACCCTGGACCCTTGGATTAAAAGTCCAATGCTCTACCGACTGAGCTATCCGGGCCGTACCAGTATATGTGAAATAACCGGTCATAATAAAAGATGGCGCAGTTTGTGGATCATATTATACAAAAGTATGAATCACGTTTATTACCGATTTTGGTAAAAAATTGTGACGGTGAACTACTTATAGTGTTGCGAACTAATTCTATTCATATTCTAGGTACTAGATGCCTAAGTCGGTAAATAGGAAAAAATTGCTAGGTGCCTAGGTAGATATGTAAAAAAGCTGTTTTTTTCGCTCTTCTGCGGACGAATTTTCGTTTTGAAATGACCAGTTTATGTACGTCGCTTATGTGCTGTTACTAGGTACTAGGTGTCAACTGACTCATATGTATAAACAGTGTCAATATTAAATTACCTAGGTGCTCGTAACGAAGCGATGCTAATGTTGCAATTCATCTTTTAAACAGAATATAACGAGATGTAGATATTAGCCGATACTGAGTAAAAATCGAATTTAATTTTATTGGTAGAGCTATTAATTATAAAGCTGCAGTTTGTTTTTTTGTTTGAACGCGCTAATCTCCGGAACTACTGCTTCGAATTGTTTTTGTGTTCCTTAGTCCATTTATCGAGAAAATACTATAAAACACCACGCTACGATCAATAAAAAAATAAATAAAAAAAATAAAAAAAAATGTTTATTTCATCAACCGTGTAAATATTACAATTTTTAAAATTTGGAGACACCTTTTAAGCAAAGATTTGCTTGTGTTAGGTGGTTCCGGTCCTCCAGTTTACAGTAACTTTACATTGTGTGAGAAACAAACAATAATTAAATTTATAATATGCATGCAAATTTCTATAAAATTTTAAAAATGTTATCAATTTATTATAATTAAAACTTATTAAAATGGAAACGACATTAATAAAGATAGTTTATTTTAATTTATTAAGTGTGCGCACAGTAACTATAATGTGAGTGTAAGTTTGTGTGTGTGTGTTTGTGTGTGTGTGTGTGTGTGTGTGTGTGTGTGTGTGTGTGTGTGTGTGTGTGTGTGTGTGTGTGTGTGGTGTGTGTGTGTGTGTGTGTGTGTGTGTGTGTGTGTGTGTGGTGTGTGTGTGTGTTTAGTTTAGTACCAATCCTAATATTATGTGGTCGTATGTAACAGAGCCTCAGTTTGTTCGTAATTTATAGTCATTAACCATTCAGTGAGTGTTCTTTTGCAGTCATGACGTGTCATGGAGTATATGGCAAGTACCTTGTTAAGGGCATTGTACATGCGAGAGGATTGTTTTGTATATTGCTTAGAAGCAAATGTAGTTTTGACTGGGGATTCTGGTGCTACCTTGTTTGTTCTCCGCGATTGTGTCCTGGAAGCGACGAATGGGAGGGATGTGTGCTTTTTTAAAACAGTCTGAAGGACGTACAACTTTCTGACGGACAAAACTCTCGCTGTTAAGTATAAGCTATCAGTGGGGAATCTTAAGGGTTTAAAGTACATGACCTTAAGTATAGCCCTCTGAGCCCGCTCAAGTTCTAAAAACTTTGTTTTTGATGCTCCACCCCAAATTGGTAAACAATACATCAGTATAGACTGTCCCAGAGAGATATAAATTTGCTGGATAAGGTCTTTAGTGGCAACGTGACGAAGAGATTTAAATGTCCAAATTAATTTTCTAACTCTGTTCATTATGAGTTCTAGATGTAAGTGCCAAGAAAGTCGTTGATCGAGCATTACTCCAAGATATTTTGTGTTATTTACTTTGTGTATTTTAAGGCAGGAGCAGTTAGTGTCTTGGGGGTTAGGGCAAGTATGTATTTTATTTTGGAGATCTTTTGTTGGCTGGGTACTATTGTATATAGAGAAACAGATGTAGTTAGTCTTTGAGATATTCAGGGTTAAAAGGTTATAATCAAGCCAGGCAGCTATTTTAGTCAAACCACGTTCAGCGATGCGACCGACGCTGTCCCATGTCTTTCCCGAGAAAACAATTGCCGTATCATCTGCATAGGAGAATATGTGAGCACCTTCGATACTCATGTTACACAGGGTATTTATATAAATGAGAAACAGCGTCGGTCCGAGCACACTTCCTTGCCCCACTCCGTATGTGACTGTTTCTTCGGAGCTTGTGACTGAACCTATTTTTACTACGTACATTCGCTCACTTAGGTACTCTTGAAAAAGTTTAAGTGGTATTCCACGTATGCCAATGTCTTCTAGCCTGTGTAAGAGAGTGGGGACAGAAACTGTGTCGAAGGCTTTTTTTAGATCTAGAAAGACGGCCATGCACTTGTCACAACTGTCTACTTTTTTAGTGACTGTAGATGTAAGCGCCAGTACAGCGTCTTCGGTAGACTTTCCTTGTCTGAAGCCAAACTGTGAGGGTGAGATTACATTAAGTTTTGTTAAGTAAGTATTCAAGCGTCGATTTACTAACCGTTCGATAATTTTAGACAGGGACGGAAGCACGGATATCGGCCTGTAATTAGATGGATCAGCTCTGTCACCACTCTTGTACACAGGTGTAATTACAGCTTGTTTCAGAGCGGTAGGAAATGTGCCTTGTACAAAGCAGAGGTTGGTTAGGTGTGAAATGATTGGCGAGATGATGGTTTTGGCAGCTTTTAAGAAACTTATAGGGATTTTGTCCCAGCCAGTAGCGCTATCAGATTTTAAACTCATAATTACGGCAGCTACTTCGTCAGGGTCTGAGTCAATAAATACAAAGGACGAGACCGGCGGATTCGGGATGGTCGAAGGTATGTTAGGGTCTTTGTTGGTCTGTCTTTCAGGGTTATTTATTATATTGTCAGCAAGACACTTGCCTATAGTGGAGAAGTATTTATTTATTTTGTTTACTGCCTCTAATGGGGTAGGGGCTGATTCCAGTAGATCCGTGTTTTGCGTTTTAGGTGGTTTTCGTTGGGAAATATCAATATCGATCAAGCAAGCAAGGAGCTGAGTAGCGGGTAAAACAGCACGAGAATAGCTACTTACTATTATATTATATTCATTCATTTTTTTTTTTGTTTTTATCGCTAAACTAAACGTTTTGTTTAGTTAAGTAATCAGAAACCATTTACGTAGCAATCAGTGTTGGTACAATTGATCACCATTACAATGAATTTTTAACAGTTAATTAAACAAGTTTACGTTCACGTTTTCTCAAATATTTCGATGAATAAATACGACAGTGGATTAATGCTGTTTCTGTTTGCTTCATTTAGTAGAAGAAATTGACGATATTTAAATTTTTATTCAAATAATAATAATTATTAAATAAATAAGTTTATACGTTAAAAAAGAAGTATATCTCAATAGCCAGTCCAGTCACTCCTATGTTTCAAGTACCTACTTAATACCGATTCTACCTTACAACTAAATAATACTTTTTTTACAAATTAAACAAAATAAATCGCCCGAACAGGGACTTGAACCCTGGACCCTTGGATTAAAAGTCCAATGCTCTACCGACTGAGCTATCCGGCCCATCCATACGCAACACTTGAACAAAGAAAGCAGAGGAGGCAACTTCAATTGTTATTTTTCAATGTACATTTTTTCTATTCTTTTCGTCTAACATAAATCAATAAGTGAACAGTATTTCAAATATTGGCTTTATTGCTGGCCCTTTTTTCATTTTGGCACTATTCCCTGTCTCGTCCTAAGGTGTACTGTGTTACAAATGGTTATTTCAATATAGCATTTATAGCCCGGATAGCTCAGTCGGTAGAGCATTGGACTTTTAATCCAAGGGTCCAGGGTTCAAGTCCCTGTTCGGGCGGTTACCTTTTTGCCTCTTCTCATAAATAACAGCCGTTTTTATAAGAAGTTTTGTTCTGTTTATTTCTTATTATGTTTTTACGCTTAGTTTTATATTATAAAATGTTTTAATAAAGGCACGTCTGTTGCAGAAGCTTTGAACTGAAATGCAGATATAAAGTTTAATATTTTCAGTGTAGCCGCACTGGAACGATTAATTATGATGTTGTTGACAGTTGTTGAAACCGCAATGGATTTACATTTATTTAAAACTTCTTAGGGTGTCTTTCTCAAAACAGTAATGCTTTGATTTTTTATTTAATTTACACACCCCAGGCAAATTCGGTAGGTATGTATCGAATTTCGTTTTCGCGCTAGAAACATTTTTTGTGGCAATTGTATGGCTTATGAAAGATTTCGTGATGTAATCGAAGTCACGTGGTCAGCAAATAAATTCCGTTACTTTTGATTCGTTTTTAAAGCATTGATTCTTTTAGATAATCACCTAAATTTCTACATTCGAGGATGTTAACACTCATTATGCAGTTTTGGCACAAGATGTAAAAGTATTGAATATTGAGATGTGATGTATAAGTCAATTTATGAAAAGGTTACAAAGCAATGCATAATAAAAAAAAATTGTTGCAGTAACAAGTACCTACTTACAACTTAAACAGATTATGCTAACTGCGAACAGACGAACTAAATACTATAAAGACAGGTAGATAGTTACCTAGCCATTTCAATCTAAATGAAATATTTTTACACGTATATCTACTTATTAGCCATTCAACTGACGGCCTGAATGATAGGTATAAGCCGTTTGATTGAACGGCTGGATTTCTCATTCAGGCGTTAGTTAAAGAGTGGATTTTTGTAGAACCCAAGTTGCTCTCAAAATTCAGTGGGACTCTGGCTCTGAAATCGAATCACTATCACAAATAAACAGCTATCAAAATTATAGTATCATTAATTTAATATGCTAGGCAGTTTATTGAAAGGCTTATTGAGATATTTGGGTGATATGTATTGTATACATCTAAAAGTAATTTGTTCAGAGTAAATTGATTAGGTACCTTTCCTAGTAACATTTTCATAGATTGACTTTGACATCGCATCCTGTGCCATTACTCCAATTAACTCTTAATGTTATTAGATACGTGAGATAAAATGATATTAGCTATAGGTACAGCCATTATCTTATTAACAACCTATCTCAACATTTCTCACAGAACTCTTCATTAAGTAATTAGTACCGGACTCTAGATACTCTAAGTTATTGTTACGTAACCGGCTGCAGTGTGTCGCGAGTTTCGATTTTGCGGAACAAGTCTTTGTGTGATCCACAAATTGTTGTTCCGCATCTGTGTGTGACACGTAGATATGTTTGTACACAATATTTATGCCCAAGACAGGAAAAATATGTAGTGTAGAAAAGTAGTGTAGTGTACCTACTCTTAAATATTATTCAAATTATCTTTAACATAATTGGTAGATTAGTCAGTCGAAAATCTATTAAAGAAATCCCGTTATATGAATTCGTACTTAGATATATTTAAGGTAGATTTTCTCCGTTTCGGCCGGCCTCAATTTCACACGCTAAAATTTTTTATCGCAGAAAATCCTGAAGTGAATCGGATTTGAACATTGAAATGGGTTGGCGCTTGACAAACTTGGTTTCGCAATCACTTTATTCTATTCTTGATACCCCATAATATACTGGTTTATGCTATAATTCGGAATCTGAACAAAACCTATCAATCATACATAAAAGTTAAGATACCTATTTTTAAATTTTAATCACCTAAATTTTTATTTAGCTTCTTTACCTTCCTAACATGTCCAAATCGCAACCTACATAAAAGATTTTTCTTAAACTATAAGTAGGTACTATATTTCAATAGATATCTAAGCAATGACGCCTTAGTATATATCTATATTTAAACAGTAAATAACAAAATAAAAGTACTTACTTCGACAGGATTGCATTGTATGTTGGAGAGGAAGGCAGCGGCTAGCGCGCCCCACACGAGGGATCGCCTGCAGGCACGCCGGCTCAAATTGACACCGTGCTTCAATGACGTCATGCTGGCAACACTATCACTACCACTGTCAACAATCACTTATCACATCTCAAACTGCAATGCCTATTCCACTGTTTAAAATCTCATTACTTTATAATCTCACAATTCGTAACGCCGCACCGATAGCCATAAAAATTGTATATTTACACACTTTTGTATACAGCAACATAAACTTATTTTAGTTGAATTCCACAGTTAGTTTAAATTGAACAAACTGAAAATCCTCTCAATTAACTGCGTTCGAGGACGTGAGTTCGGAGGTGTTCGCTTATCAGATGTACCTAATTTTAATTTTCTGGTTTATTAAAAACTTAAAATCGTTGTAGTCGTTAACAAGCTATCACAGTAGGTATGGAATTTTTCGACGTTTTTTGTTTCGTAAGTAGGCAGTTATGTAATATTAATTGAGGCTTCCAAATATAAAAAAAATAGGTACCTATAAGTAATGTACCTATGTAGAATTTGGTAGGTAGGTAAGTATACACATACTTATTCAGTAGTTATCCTTTCATTTTGCACCTAAGTTTGTTACGTCTACCTTACAGCTTGGTATTATGGAGCGGCTAAGTTATACTATGGCTAAGGTATTAGGTGCCTACGCCTATTCACAGGAATAAGACTGGAATAATTTGACTATCACTCGTAAACTTTTCTTTCACCTCTTCCTTAGCGTTCTTACCAAAAAATATAAGAAGAAACTGAGCATAAATCTGAGAAGTGAGTAACGAAGTTAATATTTAAATTAGTTTCTCTAAATAACTTGTATTTCAATGTTCAATGAGTACATTTAAACACTTTGTAATTATGAAGAATAATTTTGGCAAGTAATGCACGTTCACTTTATTATTAGCTCCAGAGATGTTTACACAAAGTTACTGTTAATTAAAATTAGCGGGTCATTAATCAGCACAAAATAACAAACTAATAATAACACTGAAAATTTCAAGACTACGACTGAAAAATCTTTTTAGTCTCATCACATTGAACCTTTAAATTATAAGAACAAAATTATTGTGGTTGCTAGTATAAAGAGAAAGTTAATTTTCATTTAGATGAAAAATGAGTATTCTTGATGGGTCACAGAGAATCATAATGTAATATGGCAATGGGCTGTGGGCGGGCGACGCCGACGCCAAGCCGGCGCCGATCCGCCCTTGCGCCAACTCCAAGGATGTTGACTTCACAGGACTTGTACAAATGTCGTATTCATTAGCTTTACACGAACGTTCACTGTATTGGCATTGATCCCATGTCTAAAAGCTCGAGGACATTATGGCATATTGTGCTAAACCCATTACGTAGAGCTGCTACGTATTATGGCGTAATACATTGGAAATTCTATCCATTTGCTACGGTAATCTTGGAATGCAAATAGCAAACAATGTCACCATCGGCATCGCCATGACACATCACTAAATAGCCTACTAGAGTTTCCCTTACAATGTCCATATTCACATCACTAGGATAGGCTGTACCTACCACAATTTCCTTATTGTAATTAGCTTCTCATTTTATAGAGAACTAGTCCTGTTTGTCTTAAACTACAGATTTACAAAATAACACCATTTTACGGTTTCATTTAATAGCCGAAAATTCTCTTGATACCTAGAATTTTCGATGTTCTACACTTTTAGTACCTAACACAGAGATCAGGATCACGGCCCTTTACTATAAAATAACCAACATTAAGTGCACAGTGTATTAAATCAAACGTTGGTAAAAATTAAACAATAAAATTGCAACTCCCAAATCTAAAAACTCGCAAGTCTGCAAGATGCCTAACTTATGTAAGTATATTAGGTACCTATAAATGGTAGGTACGTGTTAAATGTCCGATCAATCCAAAGCTGTAGAAGTAACCTTGCTGTTTTCTTTGAAAATTGGATAAAATATTTTAAAGTTATTCAAGGTTGCCAGTAAGTAGGTCGGATACTACTAAGCGAGGATAAATATTTAAATAGTCTCCAAGGACGAATGCAACTAAACCTCATATTTATTCGAGGAACGCGAATAAGATAAACATGTGATGAAGAAAACGAATTAAATCATACTTTGTTATTTATACCTATACATAAATACCTACAAAAAGCTTTTATAACGTTAATTTTAATTTCTGTATTTGACTGCGTTTGTTTAAAACGACCTGACAAATAAATTAATCGCTACTTCACAATACCCATCTTATTACAATGAACAATGTTTCGAAATCAGTAAAGCGATGCTATTATCCCACAAAATGGATCTGGGAGAATTGTAAATGGAACACGTTCAGTCGGCACGTGGATGGCCGACACATTTAGTAAATAAATCGAAACGATGCACTGCACCGGCATAAAAGGGCCATAAACGAGTTACGTTGCAAACGTACAGCTTCGAACTGTATTTGCATACCACACGCTTCATTCGACGCAGTTAACAATTGAACGCTGTTTACTGTTTAATATTTAAACCAAAATAACGTGACATTTACTACAATTGCATTGTTAAATATTATTTAATCTAGTAGTGAATGAACTCGTCTCTATAAATGTTTTTCAGCGTATTCAATATTCAAGAATCAGTAGGTAGGTAGTCGAAATGTTTGTGTCTTTGCTACAAAATTCACAAGTATAAGAATAAGTATCATACTATGAATTCATACCCTCAATGATGCCTATAATTTATGATATATGGAATTATAATTAAGTCTATGGATCATCTTATGTCTATTCAGATTTTGCGCAATAATAATTCCTGAAATGTTTCCGCTTGAAATATTCTGTGTACCCTTGACCGCATTGCCACACCCGACTGGGTTAGACGCACAATCTAGTTAAATTTATAACCCGTAGGAAACTGACGGCTGCCTCATTCTTCGTAGGACTTGCCCTACTTGTGTCAATATTTTACAGCTGTGCCCATAATTCAACTTCTCTGAGTTAATTAAACAACAATCTCGTCATTTATTAAACGACCTATACGACATTTTTATCTAACCGTTCAAGAATACGAAATAATAATATTTTCATAACAAAACCTTTGAAAAACAATTATCACCTTAATACCAACACAAATCGTATTTTCGCTGTCCTAAACATAACAAACTTTTTCAAGTAGGTAACTAAGTAATGAAATAAACGAGTTAGCCTTTTAAAATTCAGCAGATGAGTGCTTTTTCAGCTAGTGTCGCATGTCTATACTGCATTGCCCTTGAACTCTTGTACATTGGTACATAGACTACGTGTACCTATGGTATGTATACTCGAACGATCACGTTGCCAACCAACGGCTGAAGATTTTCGTATCACCCGTGCGATTCAGCGAGATTGTGCAACTTTCATTATTGAATTCCGGAATAAAAGCCGCACGCTCATCTTCAATTCAGCTAGTTAGTCTACCAACTAACCAATTTGTCTTTGATATGTTACAAAGAGCCATAATAAAAGAACTTAAGTAAAATTAATATTTCCGTGCCGGTACTTAAAATTCTGATTTTTTGTTGCTTCCAAATATTCAATGTAAGTAGATTCTTACATAAAGTAGAAAAAACTATTTGCAATTTCATTTCAAATCTATTTGTTTACACAAACACATTAAGTACTAACAAGTTCAATTATGTTTTTCTGATAGCAATATGGCTGGCAAAGTCGTAAAAAAGTCAGAGCAACCGATATATTAAAAAAAGATAAATCAGTTTTTTATCACCCGGCTTGTTAACCCTCACATGTTCTCCCGGAGCCGATCACCATCAATGGATCTCCTCTCGAGGTTGTTCAAGAGTACGTCTACCTCGGGCAAACTATCCAGTTCGGTAGAAACAACTTCGAGAGGGAGGCTCGTAGGAGGATACAGCTTGGCTGGGCAGCGTATAGGAAACTCAGTCGGGTATTCTCGTCAAAGATACCGCAAAGCCTGAAGACAAAAGTCTTCAATGAGTGCGTCCTACCAGTGATGACATACGGAGCCGAGACGTGGACACTTACAGTGCGACTGATCCACCAATTTAAAGTCGCTCAGCGAGCTATGGAAAGGGCTATGCTTGGAGTCTCTCTGAAGGATCGTATTCGAAACGAGGTGATCCGACAGAGAACTAAGGTTATCGACATAGCCCAAAGGATTAGCAAACTTAAGTGGCAGTGGGCAGGTCACATCTGTCGAAGAACCGATGACCGATGGAGTAAACGTGTTCTAGAGTGGAGACCACGTCTAGGCAAACGTAGTGTAGGGCGCCCTCCAGCTAGGTGGACTGACGACATCCGCAGGGTGGCTGGCAGTGGTTGGATGAGAAGAGCTGAACATCGAGCTCAGTGGCGTGCAATTGGGGAGGCCTATGTCCAGCAGTGGACGACAACAGGCTGATGATGATGATGATGATGATGATGATCACCCGGCTTTGAACTATGCCTGATGTGGCCAGTAACATTAATTACAAATCTAAATGAAGAATATAAAAATGCTTATTATACACACGATATTTAACCACAAAATTTAGTGCAAAAGTCCAATACAGCAAAAAAAGTATGGTTTCACGTCAGTACCTATACCTAAACCTTCAAGTTAAGTTCTGCAGTTAGAATCTGAAGGCTACAACGAAATGTTAGCGCCACGTGTACCTACCTAAGTACCTATGCGGAGCTGGCATTACTACGATAATAGTAAATGTCTTTGTTTAAATTGTTTGTATTCAGCACAAAGGCTTGTTGTTTGAAGTTGGTATTTAAAAATGTAAACAGGTGTCGTGAGGCATGACAATATGATGCAGTTCAAGGGCACTGCAGCGGCCGCGGCCGTGTGTGAAATGAAAGCTTGGAATCGTTTATTTGCGCCTCGACGGACGACAGGCACGACTCAATTTAGTACGAAGTATTTACAAACTCGACTAGCCCGCCCTACCCTTTAAACGACGCAGAATGTTAGGTACCTACCTATTTTTCGTTTCGAATTTCAAAATTGATGTGTTAATATCTCAGTTTAATATGTATTGTGTATGTGATAATAAATTATGAAAGATCATTAAGTGAAAAATATATAATTTTTTTTC